GCCTCGGCGGCGGCGGCGGCAGCGGATTCGGACATCGTGATAAATTTGCGTTGGGACAGAAAAGGGAAAATAAAAGGTAGAATGAATGAGGAACAAAAGTTGTAAAGTCGCACAAAAATAAAATATAATAATTAAAAGCAGATCAATCAATGACCTTGACGAAATGAAAACTTGACCAGCAAGTTGTGGTTTTGCAAACGTGGTTTTTTTGGGGGGTTTGGATTGCTCGAACTCCAGAGTCGAGGGTTGGACCACCGGCGAGCGACGAGCGGCGATATATAGCCACTGCCCTCAGGCCTGCCTCCGTGCCAGAGCGTCGGCTGCCCCACATGAGGCAAGGAACCGAAAATACTTTGGACGAGATTACAGGCAGCACAGACACATGTTGCAAGGACCCTTCCGTCTAGGGTTTGGGCTGCCAGCGTGAGCGCCGTGGTGCCTCGCTTCACTGCGGTGGCCCCGTCTGCAGTCCACAGCGCCCAACCTCACTCATCCCATGCCATCCCAATCGGGGCGAGTGATCGATATAGAGCGTGACGTGATCCGACACTCAGAGTCTGAGGCCAGCTCCGTCGTGCTTCGAAGCTCTTTGTCACTTTACGCAGCAGCCAACCGAGGAGCAACAGTCGATCCTGACTGACCGCGGCCAATGGATGCGTTGCTCCAGGCTTCGTTCCTGGGCCATCATCATAAAAGCGGAGTCCGCCCTGTCCTTCAGTGGTCCAAGACCCTATTTAGGCCTGGCTAAAAATAAATATAGTGCACCCGACAGGGGACGGCTCACTCAAAGACCACCCGACGCCCTTTCCAGTGCGGCGCTGGGTGGATTCCAACGTAATATCGTCGCCTGGTCACCCACCGCCAATCCCCAGGCCTCACTAATTACAGCTCAACCCCGACCGCAGGCAGAAGAAGAAGAGCATGGAAGCAGCGTCACGACTCCAGAGCATGAATGCTTAGAGCAGTGAAAGCATTTTAGATCAAATCAAATAGAGTCCATGTAAGAAATACATCGTGAATCTCGATCAATCGGCTAGGTAGCCATCGTATTCCCTGTAAGGCTGCTGCTCACTGCGTCCCTGGCTCCGAGCACCAGCGGCACATGCCAACTTTGGTGCAGCGGCGTTGCGATTGATGTGCTGTAGGATTCGCCCAAGTCATCATCTCGCATCCAGCCCCCTCCATCCGTCGCCATGTCATCATCTCCACCGCTCCAGCACCTGTTTTCCAGCCACTTCATACTGCGAATTCCCCACGTGAAATCACCCACGGCTGCGCGCGGCATTTGAAACAAGCGATGGACAGAGGTCGCGTGCGAGCTGCCCTTTGGTCCAAATTTCATCGTGGCCCTGGATGTTAATTTGGCGTGCAATTACCAAAGGCCCCGGCTGCTTACGCCTCCCCGCAATAGAAGTGGACTCGATTCCATAAATAAGCTCACCTCAGCCAATGTTAGGCAACTGTATTACAGCTACCTACCCTAAACCTGATATCTCAACTTTGAGCTGGTGGAAAAGCTTCGCCTCATGGCACGTCTCCCTACAACCGCAAGTATAGTAGACTAGAAAAAAATTAATATCGATTCCAAGAATACAATGAAGCCGAATGGGGCTTTAAATTAGGTGCTTTGATCGTTAATGCGAAAGAAATGCAAAGAACGCGGGTTTCGTTCAACGGGCTCCGTCTGGGGTACTGCTTCCATAAAGAAGATTACCTAAACTAAGGAAGTTCGGTTCCCCGGTTCTCGGCCCAACCTCCCGTGACTGAGATAACATTAAAGATATTGGAAGTAAAACATACTTTAAAATTTCCACGCAGAACGCTAAGGATTCGACATTTCGGATACCGGAGAGACTGCGTAAACTGATCAGAGAGCTTGGGACCCATTGCCGAACGGCCGTACCCGCAACGGTTATCGCCTCCGTTATCTGAAGTGGGAAGCAGGGGCTGGGTGAGTGTGGTGGGGCTGTCACTGAACTCTGGCAAATGGAACCAAAGCAAGACCCTCAGCCCTGAACAGGTTACTTTGAACTTTATGGAAGCGAAGCAATAGCAAGTGAGCTATTATTTGTCTCTCTGATGAATGGTATTAAGGCCCCTTTTAGACAATGGCTGCAACCCATCAACGACACGACTCATTGTTGGTGCTTGAGGGTGCGGTTGGAATGCAGCTCCCGCAACCCAAAGACCTTCCAATCGGCCTCTCTATTCTTATGTCCGGTCACGCACGTGATTGGAGGAATCTGGGAGGATGGGTCTTTTCTTGCCCTTTTCTGGGTGGCACTTAGCATCACTTGCATGTGTGTGTGGAGTACCGGGTGAGGGCAGCACCTCTCCCCCTTTCATTTCTCATGCTTCACTTGGTGGTGGTGGTATCAATGGCACGTTAATCGGGGTGCGTTCCAGAATAGTAGTGTTATTGATGCGAGGGTTCATTATTTAAGTTTACATTAAGCGAGAGCAGGCTTCAACAATCAGCTACCCTGCTTCTCCTTCCATGCCCCATACTTCCGATAGATATCCTTTCGGAAGACCTGTTTCAGCTCGGTGACTGCGGGGACATCAGTGGGAATCGTAGCTTGCACGGCGACAACACCAGCGAGGTCGTTCTTCCGGTCGGCAAACCAGGCGAGCGTCATGCCACCACCCCAGGACAGCGTGTGATCCCCGTACCATCTATCCTCATCCTCCAGGTTGACATGACCACTGAGACCATAGCCTGCCTTCTTTTCGGTACCCACACGAAAGAAGGGGCCGATGGGACCAGCCAACGCGACTTGGTGCCCGGTCGCCTCCTCGGGAGTAAGCCGGTCCTGGACCATAAGCTCACCGGTCCCGGGCTTGAACAGCTTGCCGTCATTGACCAAAACCGCGTGAATCACCTTGGCGTAGTCAGAGGCGCCGATGAACAGACCGTGCCCACCGAAATCCCCCCGGCTGCGCTTATTCGACTCACCGCTTCCCACCACAGCAATCCCGATCCCGTTGGGGTCGTTCGGGTTGAGATCTACCATTCGCGCACGCAGGTCCTCGCGCGTAACGGGGTGGAACTGGGCGCTGTCGATGCTGAGAGGATCGAAGATGCGCTCCTGTGCGAACTGGCCGAGTGTCTTGCCCGTGAGACGCTCAACGATGCGTCCGGCCCAGTCGAGCCCCGGGCTGTACATCCACCCGGCGCCGGGCTGGTAGGTGAGGGGATAGGTAAAGGCCTCCTCAACGGGGCGGGTCTGGCCCTCCTCGAGCTGGTCGTATTTCTTGCACCATTTCAGGAGGAGTGGGTTGAAAAAATGGTAGGACATGCCGGAGGTGTGCTTCAGGAGCATTTCGAAGGTAATTGGACGGGTGGCCGGTTCTAGAATGGGGGTGTCGCTCTCCTCGGACCATCCGGTGATGATTTGCTTGTCCGCCAGCTCTGGCGCAACGGAGGAGACATCGGTGTCGAGCGCAATCAATCCGTCCTCGACGCACTGGAGCGCGGCGATGGCGGCGATGATCTTAGTCCCTGAAGCGAGGTAAACGACGTTGTCAGTCTGCAGAGGCTGCTTCTCGCCGCTCAAGAGAGTGCGCTCGCCAATGGTGTTGGTGTAGGTGAAGTCGCCCTTGGCGTTGGAGGCTAAGATGATGGCACCATTGATTTTTCCTTGATCGATGGCGGCTTGGAAGCTTGTGTCAATCCCGGCCAGCGACGTGGTCTCTTTTGGCGAGTCAAACATGGCACTTTCCCTGTCTCATTGATCTCTGGTGAAGAGTGTAGTACCAAGACGTGATTGATGTTTTTGTGCTGGTTAGCAGGTATTTAAACCGCGACGATTCTGCATCTTTACGGCGGTAGTTGGAATCTGCCGCCAAACCCGCCGAACTGGTCGTTGATCTCCAGCTCGGTCTGACTAACGCCCGCCCCTCGCCGTAGCCACTTCAAGTTGGCCGATGGTTCGGCGAGCGTTTTGGGTTCGTCCTCGGACACACTCGCTAGTTGTTGCTTGCTGCGTGCTGACAGTGCTGTGATGGTGTGGAGATGTCGTATTATCGTGAGGCAGTAATCAAATCATGCTTCGTAGCTGCAGTATCATGTTGAGCGAAACGCAAAAGCCCCTACGAGTCAACGATCACGCGGACATGCGGAAGTCCGCCATTGCATCAACCGGAAATGAAGCCGTGTGATGCGACGTCGCAGTTGAGGGGCGGGGTTCAGTTGTGTGTGTGCATTACATTGACACTCTGCGTGTGTGTGTGTGTGGTCTGTTTTCTGGCCACGGCGAATGAATGCATTATTTCCGCCGCTGTGGCTCGTTTGCTCCTTCCTGCCCTGAGAGACCTCGTCGCTCCTGCCCTGAACTGAGTGAACCCGCCGCCTCGGTACGTAGCCCCATAGTTCTGCCTTAGCAGGTTTAGCTTAGGTGATCAGCGCTAGGAGATGATTCAGTCAGTGACCGTGTTGCTGCGAGACTTCATGATAACCAGAACAATTAGACAAGACATGGTCCGTCCAAACACCAGCTCCCCGTCACAACCAAATTGGCATCACGCAATCTCCCCTCGCTTCGCTCTTCTACTCACCGATGTTGCACTCCGTCTGCAGAGACGGTTGGCCATGCATGCATACGCGCGTTGGGCCAACTCGGTCCCCCCGCTACTGGCTGATGACACCCATTGTGACCACGCTCTGCCCAGAGAGGGATTGATCGGATTTCATGGGCCAACGAAACCGTACGATTGGAAGCATCTCGTCCCTCTCTGAGGCACCGGGTGTGCAGGTGGTCAGGTGTAATTTCAGCCGTGGTGTTGCAGTGCAGAGTCTCTTCCAGCACAATCCAATCAGTCAGTGTCTGATTAACTCATCCAACAGCTCGACCAGCCGTCCGCACCAATATATAAAGAGCAACGAGAGACCAGCAACTCGATTTCAAACCTGCGTTTCCATGCTCTTCGGGCATTTTGAAGCCAAGAGAGGCTTACACGAACTACACTGCAACCGACCCACGCCTTACTCCGTCGACAACATGAACGGATACATCCACGGCGATCCCTTCGATGAGGGCATGTTGCCAGTCGGTAACATTCACCAGATCTACTACGCCCAATATGGTCTGAAGGATGGCCTCCCTGGTATGTCTCTAGCAACGACAGCCAACCTCGTGGACACTGCTAATATTTGATGTGGCTGTTGTAGTCATCTTCCTCCGTACGTTTACCCCGGACTGCAATCCCTAACCCCAACTAATACCAGATTTCAGACGGAGGCCCCGGCGGTGGCACAAGGCGCAGCAATACCAAGTTCTTTAATCCGAAAATCTATCGCGTTGTGCTCCTGGACCAGCGTGGGACCGGCAACTCGACACCGCCCAGCGAGATCCGGGAGAACACGACTGACCATCTTCTCGAAGACATCGAGACGCTTCGAAAGCACCTGGGGATTGGTGTCTGGTTTATGGTCTTCGGCGGCTCCTGGGGCTCGAGTCTAGCCCTGCTCTACGCCCAGGAGCACCCGTACCGTATGAAGTGTATTGTTGTCCGGGGCATCTTCACGTTTAGACTGTCGGAGGTCAGATTGGCCGTCGGCAGGCAGTTCTTCCCCGACGCACTGGAACGCTTCATCAATTATCTGCCTGAGAACCAACGCTCCGAGGACCCGAGACATGCTTATTACATGTTGCTCACGTCCAAAGACAAAAGCGTCGCCCTTAAGGCCGCAATTGAGTGGAACCGGTATGATTTGACCCTGACCACCTTGATTCCAAGGCCCAACGCCTTTGCGAGGCTCGCTGATCCCAAGTGGAACATGGCGCACGCGCTGATTTTCGCCCATTACTTGGAGAACAACTTCTGGCGCGAAGACGGGCATATCCTCAAGCCCGAGAACATGGCCAAGATTGCGCATATCCCCAGTAAGCTTGAGGAAATCTCAACGAAACAGCATTATCAAGATGGTGGCTAATCTGGCATGCGCTAGGTATCATTGTTCAGGGGCGCTACGACATGGTCTGCCCTCCTGTAACTGCCTGGGAACTTCACAGACAGTGGCCACTCTCAGAGTTCCACATGATTGGCGACGCTGGACACTCTGCATCGGTAGGAGCAACTTCCGGAACTAACACTGAGTTCTTCTCATGTACTAACTGTTCTCAAGGAAGATGGTACTAAAGCCAAGCTGATTGAAGCTTGTGATATGCTTGCTTCGATTTAAGGCAACTCTCTCTTGGAGGGATTGCACCAGAAATAACCATCTTCTTACGAGCCTGAGACTTATATCTTTCCTTCTTCTGTTAGGGTAATTCCTTGGGTTAAATGACTGCCTGCAGCATCCATGGCTTCGCTTCATTTGCTGTAGCCGCTGTTTGACTGGCGAAAACTAATGATGATCGAGTTGAGGGCATTTCCGTAGCATTAGGCTACATGAGACAGAGACCATCCGATAGATTATTATCATGATTTCATAATACACGTTGCTATCTTATGACTTTCGGATACGTGATACTTGTAGCTGTGTGACTGGTTAGCCAGCTTAGAGACTTGGCGGGGTCCCCGGGAGTTCCTAACCCCGTGTGCTGGCCCATGTTTTGAAGATGGATTAGCCCATCTTCTTCTGAGCTTCAGAGCTTTGGGCCGCCCGAGCCAAGAATATCTCCGAAGCAAGCCAGGCTCCGCCCGCTACTACTGATGGTACCCCGTAGTAACATATATCAATGCTGCTCACTTCTTCCCCATATCGCGAAATGGGAGAACTCATATTGATCATACTGCTCAAGCTAAAGTGACTGAGCCTCTCTTTCATGGGCATGAAGCCCTTTCTTCAGGTGGTAGAAGCCTACTGGTGACGCGAGGAACAATGACAAGCGCACGTCTTGCAGCCCAACTAGTAGATCAAAACCCTTTAGACCTGAGAATGACTGAGCTTACCGTGCTTGAAATGGGTGGGCTTGCATCCCAATAGAGTTTTATTTGCTGTCCTGTTCATTTTAATGCCAGAAATAAATGCCGTATAGCCCCTGTCGATGAAGCAAAGTGCACAGGAATGGTGCAGCATGATAAGCGGACGAATCACAGTGAAATATGCGACACCCTCAACAAACAACTGTACTTGACCCCCGGAAATATCTTCGGCGATCGTCGGGGGTCGATAAGGAACACATAAAAATGGCATTACATTGAGGTCTATATTTGAGAATGAGGCCTCTCCAGGACTTGGGCCAAAAAAAGCTTCCAAGACTGGAGCAGATAAGGACTCCAAAGTAAGGCAGAATCCCATTTCAAGAACATTTTGTAATAGCTCAATCTGGCTATGCAAGATCTTTGAGATTTGAAAAGCACTTAATCAGAGCCGGATAAAGTATGCTGATCGGTAGCCTTCTCCCTGGGCAAGCACATAGTAGCAGAGTCTTGTGGTGTCGCTATTCCAGATTGCTTCATATGAAAAGAAAAGAAAAACATTATATTACATCTATGTATGCTAGCTACTTCTGGTCTTGGTTATTTCCTACAGCTCACGTCCTTTTCCCTCTAAGGACACCCCAGCGTAAAACCATCTCATGATCATGATCATGATCATCATTCAGCTATTATTAAATTCAAATCAGCAACCCCCTCCTTTTATTCCAGACCACCCGCCTCCAGTAGAGAAGGTTGTGACGAGGGCTCTTGTGATGATCGTAGAAGGAAGGGCGCGAGCTCGGCAATGATACCCCAAATCCTCTTTCTGTTTCGTAGCCCCAAAGTCAAGCGGGATTCATTCGTCTTGCGGCATAGTGATCGCCAATCAACGTTTTCGTGAGCATCTAGGGCCTCAAAGAGCCATGACCGTTCCCCACCGGCGATGAATCTTGAGAACCAAAATGATTGGCTGTGAAACATGGGCCAAAAAGATCTTGTGGCTAGCCTTGCGTTCAGGAAATCTTGTGTAGGCAGTTCCTTGGCAATCATATCCACGAGCTCCTGCGGGAGTTGGTCCAGCCGGTTCCCAGCAGACTTTTGCGGGTTGGGTATATCGGCGATGAGTCGTGGGCTTTCTGGCTCCTGATTTAAAAGATTCCTAGCTTCAGAGGCACGTAAGGGATTGTGAAACGCGGTTTCTAGGCCGATAACATCTTCAGCTGCAGGTGGAACCCAGTTAAGAATTGTGCCATTGATGTGGATGGAAGAGCAAACTTCGTGTAGTCTCTCAAGTGGTATCGATTCTGGTTGGCAGTAGGTGGAAAGAAGCGACCAGCATGCCTCGTGGACTAGAAAGCCATGCCAACCATCCTTGGAGCGACTTGTCACAATGTTGAATATGCCATGCTCTGTTTCAATCCCATACCCCTCGTCAGTCCAAACAGAGTTGTCGGCTGGAGGAGCTCCGAACTGCTCCTCTTCTGGCTCAGTGGAAAAACAAACACCTGTCAGAATATACCCTTCTTCGTTGTGATGATATACTGTGTCAAAGAAGGGCGGTTAGCAAGTTTCTTGCCAGCCCCATCGTTTCATGATCACAACCACATACCTCCACGGAATCTGCAAAGCCAAAGAGTTGCTTCATCATGCTCAGGATGCTCCCTTCCACCGACCCTGTTCCCACAAACAGCGCAAGGATACAAATTGCGGTTCATGGTGATAGTTGGGCACGAAAATTAAGGAAAGCGTGCTAGAGTAGAGTGAGAGGTTGAGAGCCTACAAGTGAACGGGGGAGAAGGGCGGGAGTTCAGCGGGTGGGTCACCGGACTTTTGAGGTGGTAAAGAGAGAGAAACCAACGTGCGATGCACTGGTTTCTCTCCAAGTGTTGGACACTGTCTACATGTCGAATTTTGAACCTGAAACTCATGCCCAGGCAGACGGCCTGTACAAGCATGGGAGGATGTCTGTAGATGGCAATAACACAAGGATGCTCGAAGACCACGAGTTTGACAATGGCAAATAGCATTCCCTATTCATAGGGTCGTATATTAGGTCTGATTGGCTTGATTAATAAAGAGCAGTACAGTAATTCTCCGTTTGTTGATCTTTGGGGCTAACTCCCCCGAGACATCTGTTAGATCAATCTATAAGTCTCCGTTATGCAACATCACACTTTCTTCTCCCACCCCTTAACCTCGAAGCAGTGAGCTTCTCAATATCATTTTCAGTCCCCCAAACTACCGACCCCAAACGAACCTCTCTGTTGTTCTCGTCATGCCGCCCGCCACATCTCCGAGAAGAGTTTCTCAATCTTCCAGAGCCAATCCAAAGACCTCCACAACTTCCGCGTAAACAATCGGAAGAGCACCAGACTAGCTGGTGCTCTTCACCAGAAGAAGTCAAGAAGGCTGTCTCTCGCACTCCGCAAGCCGCGCAAGCTGGACCTCTCCTTGGCCGTTGTCGAAGTCTGGGTCACTACCGGCGGCGCAGGCCCACACACCTGGACGCAGGCTGCCACCTGTGGTGGCGGATGCCTGGGCTGGATTGAAGGACCAGCCTTCTCAGGCAGCTGATCTCCCAAACGGGTGCCGCCCATCTCCAGACCGCCGAGTCGGGGGCCGGTCACCACCCGGCCATCCAGCTTGAATGTTGCCGGGTCCTTGCCCGTGCCAAAGACGATCTTTCTGCCCTTCGTCAGGCCGGCCCCCCCATAGGCCCGGATCGACTTGGGGACGTCAACTGGGGCTCGAGTCGACTTGAGAAGGTCAACTGGGGCTCGGAATTGTGGTGTGAAAGGATACTTGGACCAACATGGCCGAAATCCGTGACTGTATAAAATATAGAGAGCCTTCTCGTAGCGCTTGACGGGCCCAATGCCAGTGTCTTGAAGAACAAGGAGATCATTGTGACGGAATTCGCGCTTCGTAAACCCGGCGAAGCCCCACGGTTGACTATCCATTAGCTCGTCGAACAGCCGGAGCCAGTTCTTACGGACCTCCTCGCCGGGGGAATCTTCTCCGAAGAAGATGTAGATTGTGTCTGGGTATGGCATGGAGCTCTTTGCTCCGCCTGGGTTGATGAGGGTGGTGGCCGGAGCCCTGCCTAGAGCTTGGTACACGGGCACCTCATCCCAAGGCTTGGACAGGCGGACGAAATTGTGGCGCACGAGAAGCATACTAGCTGCCTCCATGTCACCTCTGCCGGCGAGGCACCGAACGCTGACGCGGTCAACTCCAGTGACCAGACATGGGCGGGAGCTGAAAGCCCAAGAGCAAAAGCCAGTCTGCTGCCACTCATCTGTCATGGTGAGGTTCACCTAGAACCGACGGCATGAAGTTCGTAGCTGAAGGTCTTCGCCGACGTAGATGATGACTCTGATTTTTTCTTCAAGGAAACCTGATTAGTATCGTGTAAGGAAGTGGTTGGGAAATATTTCTGCTTACCGTCTGCCCGAAAATTATTGCGTCTGACTTTTGTCAACGGCGCAGTGCTTGAGGCGGCGGAAGGTTGCGAATGGTAGGTGTTGATTAGACCACCGGAACTAGTTGAGAGCGCCATGATGTAGAGGAGTGGAACAACGATGTTCAAAGCATAAGTCGAAGAATGACTATCATCAACAGCTCAGGCTGCCTAAGGTGGGTAGGAAACAGTGTCTGTAAAAGGATGAAGAATGTGATGGCAGAATCTGGGATGGATGATGTGCGTTAAGAAGAGACTCTGGGAGGAAAACAGCTTTGAGGTGGAAGAAAGTAATGGATGGAGAGAGAAAGATTCAGCAAGAACGGAAGATTCAAAAGAGGAAAAGTTACGCGTAAGAAGGAAGGAGCTACGGAAAGGGGCGGGGCGGGTCACGGCACTCGGAGAGCAGGCTGACATCAACAACATCAGCTGCTCCTTTAACTGAGCGCTGACTTGCATGTGATACGCAACGTATCCGATGGTACTTTCCATGAAATCAGGTTGCTCTGTACAGTACTTGCGTTTGCATGGCTGCTATTATTGGGTTTGATGTATTGCTACGTGAACAATGGGTACCTCCTGGGTAAGGGGAGGAAGATACTTGAGGGTTACCAGGCTCGACAAGACTAGCTACCACCCCATCGCAACCTAGAGACCTGCATAGATGTGTACCTACCTCAAATATAGATGTATCTACTTGTATATCTCTGAGGCTCATATTCCCTACTCGTATGCTAAGTGTGGGCAGGAAAGCGCTCACTTTAGGTTGCATCAGGACTTAGGTAGGCGGCCTGCCCAGATAGAAGTTGCCTCGAACTTGCGAGAACAGGACAATGAATGAAACATGGGCAACTGCGAGGCATAGTGCGAGGTAAAATTATCAAGATAAATAACTCAGTATTCGTCCATTTCGTGGGTTACAATTGAGGCGCGCATTGTTGATGTAAACAAGGACATAGCCCCGTAGGCAGTGACGCAGAAAGGACTGAGATGAGTCAGGGCCTAGCAAAATTCATAGCTACTGGTGGTGAATCAATCACGGCTCGCCTGAATTGTAAATAGCCTTTCCCATGGCGATTCAACCTCCAATTGTCCCCTCAAGAGAAAGCTGTTTGCTTGTTTAGTGGCCGCAAATTAAAGACGGCCGATCTTCGGTGAAAGGGGTGTTGGTCCTTGTGGTAATGCCTCATTGTCTGCGCAACTGATATTCCTCCTTGTCTAGGATCAATGGCGACTTGTTTTCCCTGTGTGTGATGTCTTAATACTAGTGTTCAATCAAGGCTTGGCGGACAAACAAACATCAATTATTGTTCGTGGGGTCACAAGCAGGCTTCATGCACTCCGCACCGTCATTATAAAACAGCCTATGAATAGGTAAATGAATGTGGATTGAACCTTTCCATCACACACCACTGAAACGAATAAACACGGCCGGATCCATTTCCTCATCGCGATTTTTTATACAAGCCTGGCACGCGCGTGAAGTCTGAACCCCCACATCACGCAACTCACAGAACCCCGAAGTCGAATATCTCACAAAAAAAATCACAACGCCTCACTCCACTCACGCTCGCGCTCACAGAGAACTCTGCCACCATGTGTAAGTTATTGAGAATCATTTACCAAGTTTATTGGAATTTTCAGCCTCAGATGGAAGACTAACCTAGTCAACAGCCGAGTACACAATCCAGCTGCCCAACGGATGCCTTTCCCTTTGGTATCATGAGTTCTCAGCCTCAGCTCCGCAGACTGGTCCTAAGGAGCCAGCAAGTGAGCAGAAGCTCGCGACTCAAGACCCCGAATCATCAGAAGTCCCAGAGGGAATCTCTGTGATCTTTGGAAGGGGCTTCACCGCCGGTAAAAAGGAAATGTGGGAGGCAACCTTCCAAGAATTGATCCAAGAAGATGAGTGGAAGAGCACTGGTCTCACCGACCTGATGAACCCGCGCTACGACGAGTTTTCATTCTTGCCTCCCTCCGAGGGAAAGGTTTCCAGAGAGGGTTTGGAGAAAGCCATCTCCATTCTTTCAGGACGTGGCTTCATGCCGTTTGCGCTTGAGGCCGATACGGGAAAGTCCCAGTATACCTTCCGCGGTTAGGACGCAGCCTGAGATACCTGACGAGATGAATGCGGACGTTCCTCCGACAGTTACTGGAGAGGAATCTCGTATGCAACAAACAAACTTTGCACTTACCTCCAACTCCGGTCATCACTCGGGAGATGGGACCCTGCAACAACCCCCTCGCACACACTCATAAACCCAATTTGTCTGCTGTGGTTTCTGCTTTCAACTCTAAGTAACGCGACAGAATTTCGTACATCACCGATAGCTACCGACTCTTTTTAATCTGCAAGCGATGGATGGGACCTACTCAGCTAGCTGGATGGGAGTTTCGGCTATGAGGACCCTCGTAAAAGCATTCTGGGATATTGAATGTTCTTGGTCATTTGAGGCACAGGGTTTTTTGCTGTTGTGCCTAGTAACGAGTGCAAGATAGTTCGGCAAGAAGCCAATAAAAATTTGCGACCTAATCAAAATCTAGTGAGACCTGTTTATTTCTAATCATGATCGACCCGTTGAAATGCCCGTGACTTGCTTGTAGTTTTTCCTCGCCATCAAGCCACATCATATCACATATATTCTTCCAAGACCGTATGGTGATCGTTTGAAATATACCAGCAACCAAACACGGTCCATGCTACTTTCTGGGGACTAAAATGGTTTCAGTAAACAAAACTAGTCTCGTTTCTTCCCAATGCGCGGCAGACACAGCCAGAGGACCAAAAGAAGACCCAGGAAGGAGAGGATGATGGGCTGAAGGACCTGGACGCCCTTCGCTTGTGCGAGAGCTCCGGTCGCGAACGGCAAAAGGGCGCCTCCGCTCCCGCCAACCGCAGCAACGAAGCCAACAGCGCTCACGTGGAGGTGCTTGGGCAGAAGGCTCGTCATGACGACGATCACAGCCGGGAACAAAGGCCCCAGGAAGAAGCCCTCCAGAGAGACCGCCACCGCAGAAACGTAGAACTGCGGTACGAGCCAGAAGACGAGCTCGAGTGCCATGGCGGCGGGGACGTAAATGAGGACGGCCACCTTCACTCCGAGCAGGGGGGTCACGAAACCCAGGATGGCTCGCCCGACTGTCAGGCCCAGCCAGAAACCCACCGAGGTCATGCCAGCTGAGAAATTCTCGGCCTCACGAACGCGGATCATGAACTGCACGATCCACCCTCCTAACGAGACCTCGGCGCCAACGTAGCCCAAAAGAAATAGGGCACCGAGCCAAGTGACGCGGGCGTAGGGTTTCGAGAACAGGGCAGTCCTCATGCCAGTGTTGTTTTCGTTGCTGGCCTGGATAGCGCGGTTGTATTCCTCGGCTCCGCAATGCCAGAACGCCGCTGTAGATGTGACAAGCTCAATTACGGACATGCCGATCTGTCCGATTCATTAGCAGTTGAGAATTGATCGCGCTGGGAGGTTACCTACCATGACATAGTAAAAGCTGTACCACGACAAACCGCCCTTGGTGATCATTGTGGTTGCGATGAGGGGGCCAATGGTGCCGCCAACACCATAAAATGCATGCAGGAAGCCCAGCAGTTCGTTGGCCTTGTTCAGATTTCCAATCCACGCATTCCATGCCGCATCAGCCACCCCGTTGCCGAACCCAGCAACGATAAAGACCACAACCAGCACTGGATAAGGAGGGTGCTGCGAGAGTACGATGTATGCTGCAATGTGACATAGGCTGCAAATCACGGCAATGCCACGCTGACCAAAGCGCATGTGTATGTGGTTGTTGCAAGTGGCAGCGAGAATATAGCCGACGAAGGGAGAGAGGAACACCAAGGACACAACGAGATAGTCGAGTTTGTAGTATGTTTCTAGCTAAGCCGCTGTCAGCTGGAACGAGGTAATTGGACCAGATCAGGTCGGGAAACACACATATGGAATCAAGGCCTAGGAACATCCATTGTTAGCACGATTCGTCATCATTAAAATACGGTGTTTCACTCACACCGTAGGCGGCATCATTCGCGCCAGTCACCAACAGACTCCAGTATGAGGCCCCGATCCGATATAGGTTCGATCGAGGATTGTTCCAGCTCTCGAGCGCAGTAACATTGTGGTCTGAGGGCAAAGGGTCTTCAGGAGCCGTAGTGATGTCATGGGCAGACTCAAGTCGACGGCCTTCAGCTTTAGTCTCCAAAGCCACCACACTAGGTTCAGGGGTTACGGCAAGCGACTGGAGCGCAATTGGCTCAATTACAGTAGTTGAAGATTGTGTAACGGACATTTTGAGCTTCTTCCCTCTTCACCCCGAGTTGGAGTGTTTGGGCATCGGAAAGGAAAATGGGTCGAGGAATGGAGCGGTCGAAGTTGCGGGTCGTGGGATCAATCTCTTTATACATGGTGGTTAGTTTGCCAAGCTGCTTAATAAAGACCCTGTGGGGGAATGACTCTCGGATGACGGCCCGACGGGTGATTTTCGGCTGAGTTACGGAAATAATTCGTTGCTAGACTTTCTCGAAAAGATGAAGAGTATCGAGAATTTGGAAATCGACTGGGTTAGCTGATCAAGTAAATGCGGGATGGTCCTTCTTTTAGCCACACCTGTGGCATCCATCAGTTGATGCTGGGCGGAGATACTGTTTTTGGCTTAGAAATGTCCGAAGTTCTACCAGGTGGGCTTGGGCTCTTGTGCGGGGCGGCTACCCTAGACAAGAACTCGCAGGCGCATCGTCTCTGGCATTCTCCTGCTGAAAAAAAAGGAAGTGGATCGAATCTGGGTAGTGAGTATATTCAATCATTAACAGCGACTTTGTCATGCATGAATCTGAATTATCCCCGTATCCTGGCTGGCCGCGAGGGGAGGTGTGCCCCAAGACGTCCAAAAAGCAGGCATTCAAGCCATCCTTGCTACTTGATTATTTAGCGATTTCGATCAACCACACCATTGAGCCAAATCTGGTACTGATTCCTGGAGAACACTTTAAAAGAACTTTTCCTCGCACATCACAAAGAGATCTATTTGGTGGCCTGGCGTCTATGATTCACTGTAATGGTTGGTGCGCATCGCCACGACCAAGAGTGAGGACACGCGGGTTATCTTTCTTTCGACATTGAGTTCCCCTGGAACTACTAACCGCCCCTGTGTCGCTCCAAGGAATGCGCTGAGCCAGCTACTAGGTCAAATCCTAACTGTCACAAAGCACCATGACAAGGAAAGAAACAGTGCCGTAATGGCCGGCAGATAATTTCTAGCGTTCAGTCGCTCATTTTGACTTTATCCCTGAGCACTTCAATTTGCTCGAAGTTATTTACCAGCCTGCCGTGCAAGAGACTGTAACGACGTGAAGAAACCTAAGGCGTGCAAGTGCCGGGTTTGAAGGGTGTCTTTTACAGGAGGGTGCTCTGCTCAGCCTTCTAGGGCAATGCACCAGCCTAGCAACTGGAGCTGTGCTGTCTGGAAGCCATTGCACTGCGTCGCTTCGTCGCGCCTTCCCCTGCTCCTGGTAATGGATGAATGACGTAATATGCTTTGCGCCACTGTAGATTTTATGTTGTTCTCAAACCAAACTGACAACTTTACCTGACGTATGAATTCATACCATTGTTGCTCCATAGCCCTCATCGCCTCCAAAGAGCCCCCTGGCTTTCCCATGACGCCTTTCGATCGTACAAGAGGGGAAAAAATACAAGATAAGCTGCAACCATTTGGATACCTGTCCATCTGTAAGCTCCAAACTTACCCTCCGCATTCCTGCCAACTTTGTCGCTGACTGGTTTATTTTCTAGGACGATCGTGTCTGCCCTTAACAAACGATTCGTATTCCAACCAGTCTCATGGTATGCCACCCCCGAGTTATCGAGAAGGTGCACGTCCAGCTTCGGCATACAAGATAGCATCCCTCGACAATAGAAATTGAAGCGCCAGTCTTCAGCCCTAGTCTTGGAGGTGTAGGCCGGATTTCCTCTGCTACGAGGGATGGAAAATTAAAAAGACAGAGAAGAAGATGCAGGGCTACGACAACAAGGAGGAGATGCGATGAATCATTCTGCCCATTATTACTGCGATCAGCGGAATTTCGAAAACCAGCGCCATCGGCACCTGGTCCTATAACTTGCCCCCGAGGCTGGACTGAGACCGAATCTCTAAAGTCTCCTTCAATAACGGACCTTGGACAACTTGGTTACCCAATCGATCGACGTGGTGGTTAGTAATTGAGTCACAATGTGTGGGACAATAGAAAGCCTCCAATTACAGTTACACCCTTGAGGATATGAGGGTCATCCTCTGAATGTGTAACTGATAGGACCAAGGATGTGGTCAGTTTTGATCTCGATCAGTCTCTTCCTGCAGACTCGCGTCCATATTTTCTGCCCCAACAGAACTAAATATTCTCAGAAACGAGGGAAGCAGTTCTCAACCCTCGCCTCTTGGGTTTTCAAAAACTATTTACCACAGTTTGACTAAGAGCAATTTGGAAACCCACCGGCTGTCAAGATGAAGCTGCGGGTCCCAGAAGGGATTGTATGGATATTGGCATATCTCTCCTTGATTCTGCCCGGTTTGAGTTTGAAAGGTGTATTGCTGGCCTTTCCTGCCGTCACGAACCAGAGTAAGATCAGCACCGAACCAAGAGGCTGCAAAAAAATCGAAAATCCATGGGGAGAAGCTTACCAAAAACCAGCCACTCGTCTCTGGACCTCTGCCACGAAGAAGGGGCATAGACACCGAGTCACTGGTGGTTTCAAGGTACCTACCTACATACCCACCAGGTGGTTGGTATTTGAACCTCGGTGATGCAATGTTGACATCTGGAGACTGTCAAGTTGTGCCGAACTTTTTCAGTTTGCCCGGCCGTCGCCTTTTTGGTGTCATGCGGCAACCAACTCTCTCCTCACAAGTCTAACCAATACAGCCAGAAGAATCCTATGTTTTCCATAAATAAGCTCAAACGGGTTCATATCGCCTCAATTGAGTTTTCCCCCTCTTCTCGTTCTGCATATCACGACGCCAGGTGCAGACACGCTCCTAAAACCTTAGCACTAGCTCCGGATCAAAACCTACTAGGCCAAAGCTATACCGAGTTCATTGCCCTTTTCGATTGAATTTGAAAGAAGCTGGCGGAGAGGAGAAACCCCTGGATCAGTGTCACGGAAACTTAAAAATCGACCATTGATGGCTTCTGCAGATCGAGATCATGTCGGCGAGAGGCTGGGGCTAGCTTCCCGTCATGTTAACCTCTTTAGCCCCCACGATCTGCTTGATTGACGATGGTACCGGTAATTTGGGAGGCAGGGATACTTCCATGGTGACGAGATGACCCAATGTTCGCTATTGGTGAAGTGGTTCCAGATCAGTCCTCTACAAGTCAACATTGTCGGACATTCTCTATGATCGACGTTCTAGACTTCCGATACTGATGTGGAAGCCCCCAACAAGATTTGGATACAAAACACCAAATGGCAAATGATCCCGATCTGCCGGTTGGGAACTAGGCCTTTGGTGGCCTAGAGATCTGGGCTTATGCCGGTTCGAAGGCAACTAATGAACCCGTGTTTCTTTCCAAAGCACGTACGAACGAACTTTGTTCCAATACGGCTGAGCTCTCAAGTAAGTGACTCCGGTGTGCCTGAGATATCTAGTTATGACTTTTCGATCTGCATGACCCTGGACATGGCCCTACCGTGATTCTATCGGACACTGTAAGTGATCTATGGGATTTCGTCGAGGGAAATTCGAATAAATTTGTGCCGTCTCCCCAGATTCTGAACCTCGCGGATAGGCGACTGAAGAATTAGTTTGATCCACAACGCTCTTACCCCTCGACTCAACAATATATGCTTCATGCGGTGGAAGCAATGAGCGGGGAAATGCACTCGAAAAGTGTAATATCAGACAGTCTCAGCTTGGATTGAAGAGCTCTGGAAAAAGCCATTGAGTTCAATATCAGTTAACTGGTACAGTCTACCCGAAAGATTTCCGCTCCCGGTGGATACGTTGTCATGTTCGAAGGTTCGACATTGCAGAGTCTAACCCAACCTCTCTACGCACTGAGTGTAACTCAGCATCTCGACGGTTGACAACCGTGACACCTCGCTATTGTTTCGCGTTCGATTTTGATGATTATAAATAGACCCTCGAGTTCTGGCAAATGATGTTTTCTTCTTCTCAGCATCAAACAGGTTCTTGGACACCAGACAAACAAACAGACTCTCACCGAACTTCTCAGTTGAACTTCGACTCTTTATCTTTTCACTCGGTTAACTCAATCGTCTACTCAAGATGCGTACTTCAAACACTCTTGCGGCCCTCATGATGGCCATGGGCACTCTGAGCACTGCGCTCCCCGCCGACGCTTCGGCCAATGGGCTCGCTGCTCGTGCTGATCCTGGACAGCAGCAGCAGCAAGGCCAGCCCATCCCGCAGCAGCAGCAGCAAGGCCCGTTCGGCCAAGGCCAGCAGCAGCAGCAAGGCCAAGGCTACGGACAGCAGTATGGCCCAGGACAGTACGATCCTCAGAAGCAGGGCTACAACAACCGCCCTTCTTTTGATGTTGGCTGCCCGGACTGTGACAAATACTCTCACCATGCTTATGAGAACTCCAACTCCAACACCAAGTCGACACATACTCAGTGCGAGAACGGTTGCTGCGCCTGCAAGCCCGAGCCCAAGCCCGAGCCCAAGCCCTGTGAGCGTAAGCACCACCCAGAGAAGCCCTGCTGCTGCAACGGAAAGTACCAGGGCGAGAAGAGGGCTTAAAGGAGTCGCACCATGGCCCCAGCCCAGTCCGACGAAGCCAGAGCCTAAAAGAAAAGAATGTTCCTTGGGTTTCTCAAGTTATTCATTCCTTTTTGGATTTAAAATGGCTTAACACGATACAAATTGTTGAGGGGCGCTTGCTTGTACGCGTCGCGACTGGCTACCAAACTTAAAAAGGTTCACAAGGCGTTGTGAATTATATGGTTTCCAAAAATCATGGCCACGAAAAGTCTTGCTTTCGAAAAAGTTGAAAAGTTGATTGAAAATCGGTTGGCCATGCACTGTCTTTCATTCTCCCGTCATTCATTACTCTATTTCCTATTGTCAAAAGTCATTTGTTGCCATCTAAAAGCTTCAAAAAAGAATAAAATACCATTTGCAACGCCGAATCTAATCTCCAAAGAGCCTTAGCTCTCAGCTTGTGATGTCTGGCTGATTAGCCTAGTTGTGAACAAAACTAACTACACATCATGCGGAAGAGAGGTCGAGTATGAAGTTAAACAACAATGGAAGATGCCAGACCCGACATCTCAACACAATGAATACTAACTACACATCATATGTGAAGAAAGAGTACGAAGCTGGCGACACAAGATTTAGGCTCCCAGATAAGTCCGCCCAAATTCCCCGAGACAGAACTGGAAACCTTCTAAACTCAGTGATGCCGTTTACTTTTGTATCAGAGCTGTATCTGCAACTGCATCTAAGATTCTTTGCGGAAATAGGTAAAAACAACAGGTGTTATCTGCCGTTACGCTCATAGGGGTTGACAAGCACGCTGAACTTCAACCTGAGCTGGGTTAAAGACTTCTTCAACGTTTGATCACGTGCCAACATCGGGGTATACCGACACGAGGATTCCACTGTTCATTCTTTACTTTATCAAGAAATTCGAGGCGAGATATGAGGTCCAAGGGAGTCATATGTCTATCTAAATTCCGTGAAGTTGCTTACTTGGATGTAGGTTCAACTGTATCTGCGGGGCGTTGGACACAAGACCGTTATGACTACATGTTCACGTTCAAGAATGTGGCGTTCAGATTCAGGGTGCACGCCAACAACTCGCCTGCCTACCATGGGGTCACGTTGTGGTTATCCAGTTCGTCCAGCAACATGAACAAATTCAAAGCGGAAATGGATTTGGAGACCAGCTAACTACAGGGACGTATTGGCTTCCAGAAGACCTTGAGGCTTCCGGCGATTGCTTCCGACCGTGAGTCCTTCCACACACATGTTTCAAAAATGGATTAGAATTCCATTGCCTATGTGTCCCGCTTACGTTATGACTTGGGCTAATAGACACATTAGGATAACTGTCTAGACGAGTATGCACAATGATACATAAAACTAGGGCCTACTAGTTATGCCATGAAAGTTAGATCGGGGAGAATTGCTTGGACAGGAAGGTCAATGCTACGATGACGAGAGAAGAGAAAACTCTTTTTGATTCTGGATCAGATTCCAACCTGGGACCCTTGTTGGGACTGGTACCCTTCTGAGACTTGTTTTGGTTTCCTGGCGGTCTCGGAGATAACGTTTAGCTGTGAAGGGCTCCAGCGGTATGCGACACAAGTAACGGCGAATTGTCTTATCTATCCGCCGAAATAATACCTCGTATTACATGATGATATTACCCTTGGCTGGAAACTTGATTCCTGACTGGCTGGATATCTGTTTGAAACACGATACGGGTCAGTGTCGTAATGGCGCATTGCATGTGTGCCCGAGCAAATGTGGTCTGTTGGGCTTTCAGCTCAGCTGCAGCTGAACAAAGTGGCTGGCTGAGGGTAGAAGTGATTGGATAGGGAGAGGTGATAGACCCTGTTCCTCCCGTTCTGTCATTATCTCGGTCTATTGTGTGCTGTCCCATCACACGCTAATGCCAGGCGTAGTCGCAAAATGCAAGACAATGACCAGCCACCAGACCACTGTTGAGATGTAACATGGCCATTCTAGAGCCCAACGGACAATACAATACAACCAAGACAATCCATGCAGCCTGTCCTTTTCGGCTGGCCTAGCGCTTATATGCAGCTGCGCATTGATAGCCACGATGCGACCCGAAGCTTCAGGGGGGATCGCGAGCCAATCTTCGTCATTCTGGGCGCAACCGTGATAACCCTGCTGCAGGATATCAACCACTCATCGTGCTGGCTGGGTACTTTTGTGAGGGTGGGTGAGGGGAAAAGCAATTATAGAGTCACTTGACGCGAGACTGGGCCGTCTTGCAGCCGGTCAGGTTAAAGTTCAATATTGTATGCAACGCACGTATGCGGGCTGAGACACATTGGCCAGCTGTAGCTTCGAGTATTGGCCACAGAAGCTGCCGTGTCTTGGCACAGAGCGCACACCGGCTGCACGTTTGTGCTGCACATTTGTGTTCAGCAACCGTGCCAAGGACCTCGAATGCCGATCTCCCCATGTCCTCATCTCTCGTTGCATCTCCGTCTCTTTGACCGCCTGCAGTCCCCACCCCGTCTTATCTCGTATTCCTCCTCGATGGTAGTCTATCATTGTTACCATCCAGACACACTGCAGGCCGTATCCCTAGTATCATGCATGAGGACGGAACACTACATACCTGATCCCTTGATATGCTTGAGGTGGAATGGGGACTGGTCTGGACTTCGGTAGCTTCGAAAGCCGGTCTCGCAGTCTACCAGGATGGCACCCATGTCTTGCTCTGTGTATCTGATATCATTGTAACTGTGCATGGATCGAATTGCCATGCATAATTTGTAGTCTGCATAAGTCAGTTTAATGCAGAGTCCGATGTTTGGGCTAATAGAGCCTAACTGATGGCGAGTTCTGTGCCTACACATGGCTTTCCAAGCCCTAAGTCATAGCGTACTTTCAGGCCTAACTTCTTCAACTCAGTTGAGGAGAGCGCTTCTCGGGATCACGTGACAGCAACGGATTACCAAGATGCTGTGCCCGTGGGAAGGTGGTTGAGATGGTGATGAAGGAGGAAAAGAAGCTAGGGAACGAAACGTATGTGCTTGCTTAAAGTTGGTCTTGGGCGACCTAGATAAAATGAAAGGGGCAATGGTTAGATTTCTTTTTAAATGACTTGATGAGGATTGGTTGAGCAGTTTGGTGGGACGTTGATCGTCCATTGGCATTCTCCTAGATACTTAAACATGAACCTTCGAACATAATTGACAACTTCAAAACTCTTTCCCCTTCCGAGACTTAGGCCATTCTGCGCCGCTTCGAAGTCTCAGGTCCGTGCTCGAAAAGACTTAAAATAGCTTCATTGCCGCTGGCAGAAGCGATGTCCAGACAAGTCTGTTGGCGGTCATTCTCAGCCATTGGATCAACCCCTTTTTCGAGTAGCCACCGAAACCTCGAAACCATCAGCTCGCTAATATGTGCCTGCTCTGATGCCTGCTCTGAGGGCTTTTGTGTGGAACTGACGACATGCAACAAGGTGTCTCCAGAGCTGTTTGTAACCGAAAATTCAGCACCGGCATCAGCCAGAGCCTCCAAGGCTTCCGTTTGTGCATCCATTTCTCTCCTCACGTCTTTCACCTCCTTCTTTGACCCCTGACCCTGTAGGAAGTAGAAGATGGGTGTCTCTCCTTCATTGTTAACCGCGTTCACGGACAGCCCAAATGACAATAGTCGCTTGAACAGATCCCGCGGGCTAATGCCAGATTCTTCGACACGACCCATCGAGGTGCCGAAAAGATGCAACGCCGTATTTCCGTCGTGATCTACAAAAGTAGGATCCACACCCGCGTCAAGGAGCATTGCAACAGATCGAAAGTCCGGGTTGAAATAGACATTATTGCATCTCGAGAGCGCGTAGTAGATTGGAGCCCGCCCCTCGGTATCCGTCTGGGAAGCAAGCTCTGGGTGGCGCGTTATGAGTGTCTGAATCGCCGCATGGCCGCCCCCACGATTTGCTTCAAGTATATGATGGAGCGCGTTTTTGCCCTCGTTGTCCCGGGCTGTCAGGCATGCTCCTTTATCCTCAAGGGTCTTGAAAATGGAGAGCCTGCCTCTTTGCGGAACGCAGCTCGGCAATCGTTCTGTGAACAGCTCGTTTAGAGCATCGATATCCATGTCTGGTCCAACCTTACTGCGGCATGCAGATAGTAGCACCGTACGACCCTTTTGGTCTCTTCTTTCTAGGTCAAGACCAGGGAGATCCAGGATTTGTTCGACGAAGCCTCCCTCTTCTAAAAGATAGTGGAGGAGTGTCACCTCCTCTGCGGGCAGGTCCCATTCGGGGCGCATTCGAAAGGTTGCGAATGGGTTGGCACCGAGGTTGAGCAGCAGCTGAATCAGAGGCATATGCCGCTTTCGTACTTCATCATCGGTTTCTGTAACCTGTATGGAATAGTTTTCATCAGGGTTTCTCCATGCAGCGACGTATAACAGAAACTGCTCCTGAGGTTCTATGTTCCTTGCTGTCGGTGTAGGCCCACCATCCTCAGGTCCTGGCATGCGGGCATTGGCACCTATTGCGGTAATCAAGGCTTCCAAATCCTCGAGACTTGGTAATTTATAACCTTTGTTATAGTTGATGGTGATGGCCTCAAAAACAGTGACCGGCGTTACTCTTGCCCCTGCCTTGATGAGAATGTCGGTGGCAACCTTGTCGTCCGCCACGAGTGAAAGACAGCTATTCCCGGCTGAATCGGTCGCGTTAACATCAGCACCAGACTGCGTCAAAATCTTCAAACTTCGATATAAATTGGACCGGTCATGAGGCATCTTCCAAAGTTTTCCAACTGCTCGAAGAAGAGGAGTTCGGCCTCTATGGTCCCTCGAGTGGACATCTGCGCCATGGTCGATCAGATATTGCAGGCCTTCAGCGGACTGCCACCATGTCGCCCTTGAAGCCATGATGTGTAGTGGGCTGGTCCCCTTTGTATAGTGTGGGTCTTCATCATTCCCTATTATCCTCACATCCTGGATGTTCACATCTGCGCTCAAGTCCTCGACAAGATAACGTAGCATGGGCATGTTCCCCCTTACCGCCCTACAAGCTCCCAATAGCAAGGGCTTGATAATATTAGGGATGATCCCACAGGATTCTGGGGGCCCTGTAGAATCAAATAGGGCTCTGTGCTTCAGCTTCATGTCTCTGATTCGTTCACGCGAGAGAAGTTGGCGGACAAGCTGAAGGTGTCCGCCTGCCACGAGGACAGAGATATTGCACGTTCTTTTGAACTTCATATCATAGAAGTTAGGGTCATTACGAGCCCAGTAGTCAACTAGCCCCCATTGATGGTTGTCCAATAGATCGTGAAGTACCTCTGGCTCATCCCACGGCCTCGTTCTCATGAAAGCTTCCCTCAAGGCAGCTTGTCGGTAGATTGCGGAAACTACCCGGAATGACGGTTTGAAGTCGGCTTCAGTTCTGATTTTGTCGACTGTCGTAGGAGAGGCGTCTATGGATCCCCTTGTTTTCACCAGGGCTTCAACATATCCATCTGGATTGGGCCACGGGTCGTCGCTGTCCGGGGCTTGAGTCTCAGCTTGTCCTGTTAGACGCTGTCTCAAACGAAGAAGACACTCGAGAGCGTAATCTCCACTCTTCCAGTTCGCGATGGCGTAGTCCAGCTTTGGCATTCGTTCTTGCTTTCCCATGGCCATCAGATCTAGCCCGTGCTCCTGCAACAAGTCCAGGACATCTGCAAGTTTATTTTCCTGTCGTTCTGGAAACTCATAAATTCTTCCGCAGTCATCCTTCATACTTAATCCGAAGAAGTTTAAGCTGAGTCTTGGCTCGCCACCCGGCTGATGGCGAAAGTTCTTCCATAGCTTCTCTTCCGACTCGTACTTCAAGCACCACGTTAAGCATGATCCCTCCTCGCGGTCACCAAACCACAAATTCGGATCAGCACCCGCGTTGAGAAGTAGAGAAACCGTCTCGGGGACGCCTGAAGAACAGGCTAGAAACAAAATCGGAGGCACTGCCTTGTGCTCGGCCCCCCAGTCGTCTGGCACCTGCCTCCACGCGGTGTTGAGATGGGAAGAGAGTCCCTGTTTCCCGCTTTTAGCTTCGATTTCTTCCAAAAGTATACCGACAATGTTTGATTGTCGAAAGCGGCAGGCGATATGCAACGGGGTCATTCCCATGTGCGTTGGTTCCGTGGGGCTAGCACCGGCTGCCAGCAACTTGGCTACCAGCTGTTCTGATGACTTGCAAGCGATATGTAGAGGTCTTACACCATCATAATCTTTGAGATCAACATCTTGATATGCATCAAGAGGCTCTTGTAGTGGGTCTCGGTCGTCGTAAAACTCATAGTGCAAACTTATTCGGCCATGGTTGTCGGGCATATCTCGCGCCGATGGAAGGGCGAGAACGCCCTCGTTGTCGCGAATTGTAGGGTCGACGCCAATATTCCTCAGAAAATTGACCATTTTTGCGTCTATGAGCTCTTTGCCAACAATGTTTGTCGAGGGGTCCGTATATTTACAGACGAAATAGAGATTTCGCCCTTGCTTGTCACGGACAGACGAGTCAGCACCAGCATGGAGGAGGATCTGGACCAGCTCGATATTTCCTAACTGAACAGCGTGAAACAGAAGAGTGCGACCGCTATGCTCCCTTATGTCTATTCTTGCGCCGGCTTTAATCAGTCTGGAGTATATTCGAGGCAGCAAGTCGTGATATCGGCGTGGCATTGCTTGGAGTGGAGTCTTCCCCTCGTTGTCCTGCGTGTTGAGAGGCACCCCTGCCCCAACGAGCGCGTCAATGAGGTCTAGTATGTTGTAACCTGCCTCGTTTTTATCTAATATGAAATCATTCAGGAGCTGATGCCAAGCCCCCTTTCCGTCTAAGCCCACACTCGTCACATCAGCGCCGAGGGAAACAAGCATCTTAATGAGATCGGGTGTGGTTCCGCGGACCATGGCTGAAAGAAAAGGAGTCAATCTCCAGGTAAATGATTCTTGATTGATATTCGCTTTTCCTTCTTTCGCGAGAAGCTGCAAGACTTGAACATCTTTGCACCCATGGAAGGCGTTCTTTCCGTCACGGTCTCTAAAACCTGAATCGGCACCTGCGTCTAGCAGGTATTTGACCATGGAAGGCCGACATTGCGCAGCATATAGCAAAGGTGTCTTGCCTTCTTCATCAATACCATCGACATCAATTCTACGTTCAAGCAGGAGAGTTGTCAGTCTTTTGATGGACTCGGAGTCAAACTTCTCAGCTGGCGGACGGAATGTCTTTGAGCGTAACTTGTGAGATTCGGCCTCAGCACGAGATCTATCGTATCCTTTGGGAACTGAATCAAACGCACCGCAGAGAGCATGCAGGGCATTGTAACCAGTAAACGAGTAGTAAGGCTCGTTGACCTTGTCGAGGTACAAACTGTGGTTCGGGTCGCCTCCCCATGACATGATACTTGCGTCAGCCCCTGCTTCCAGTAAAAGAATCATGGTTTTGGGATCGGCGGCTCGTCCGGCTAGAAACAATGGAGTGTTCCCTTCAATAATCGCATTCACATCGGCAAGTGGATGCGTGAGCATGGTTTGGACGACCGCAGGGTTGCCGCTCAACGCGGCCCAAGCCAATCCCTTGTTCACACTGGCGGCATCTTTGAGGTGACGAACGAAACCACTAGTTGCGGATTCAAGCCCATACAGAGTTGCATACATGAGAGGAGTCTGGCCTTTAGATGAAGGGGGATAACAGCCGGCATCTTCTTCTGTCTTGGGAGCCAGCGGGTCAGCACCAGCCTGCAATAAAAGTTCGACCAATTCCCCATGGTTCAATAACGCGGCCTTGTGGAGAGGCGTGTGGCCATTGGGCTTTATGTTGAACTCGGCCCTCGCACCGAATGCGAGCAATTGCTTCACGGTTGATGCATGCCCAGCTTCAACAGCAGCGACCAAGGGCGAGTTGTCTTCATCACCGAACTCGTCGGGTTTCATATGCCTCTCCTTTATGAGCTTGGTCAGGTATTGGGTCAAACCTAGTGCAGCTACCTTATATACCAAGGATTTTTGCGGAAGATGTTTGTTATGCAAACGCTCCAATCTGGTCAGTGTTTCCTCAGTGATAAGTTCATCGAGGCCCAGCATTAGAGTTTCCGGCAACTCCACATTCATCTCCGCTCGTCGGATATGGACATGCCAGTTTTCAAGCGAATATTGTAAGAATGGGAACTTGGATCGTATTTCACTGCTCGCTAGGAGCGGTCCCTTGTCCTTGGGTGCGGGGGGTTCGGGATCGGGAGATCCCACCCTGTAGTCGACTATCAGCGGGGACTTCAGACATTCGGAACGTAGGATATAATGTATGCAGGCCTCGGCAAGGCGGACGTTGGTTGAGCCAGGATCCAAAATTGGAAATGTCGCCTCGTCGTCCTCCCTTCCGCGAGTAGACCCAGTTAGAAACTCGGTCAAAGAATGATGGATAACACATAGTGTCTCATCTGGAAGAACCTCAATAAGGGGGCCGCATGCGTCTCGAACAAGCTTCTTGATTGCTTTGAGGTCTCCCCTGAGATCTTCTTTGAGTGAAATATTCTGGGTCACGTTGACCATCTCAGCGACTTCCAGAAGCCGCAGGGGATAGGTGGCATGTGTCACGCAAGACAGAATCAAAATTTGTAAATCATGAGGTACCCCGGATCTCATAGCGTGTTCCTGGAGGAGATCGGTGTACATGATATTCAAGTCTGCCGGCAGCATAGTCAAGACTTGTTTGACATCTGCGCCTTCTTTGAGGAAGGAATCCATGGCCAGCTTGGCGTATAAGAAAAGCCCATTCGCTTTTCCTGGGACTGCTTGCCTGATGATCTCCTGGTCACTCTCCGAAATACGACCTGCTGAACTTTGCAGGCGATGAGCGACATATGTGGCAATGTCTATATCCACGAATGTTTCCTCTAGCCTTAGATGAATTATTGGCATCCGACGTAGCGGTCGCTCTAATCTACTGAGAGGACGGCTGGTCATGATGACTTTCACATTCGAGGGTCGCCATTGAGCCAGCTCGGCCAGAGCCTCGAGAAAGCCATCGTTGTCCTCGTCCATCTCATCTAGTGCGTCAACGACGCAATAAACTTTGGGGAGACTCGATAGGGCAAGTTTGAGATCCTTCCAGAGGGTAGCCATTGCCACACTGGATAGTTCTCGCTTTGGCTGAAGGTAGTCCTCTTCAATCTTTACTTGTAGTGGGGGACTGTGCTGCAGGATCTGATGTAGCCAGTCTCGGAGCAAAGAGTCGGGAGCATGGTTGGCTTCAATGATCTGCCGAAAGAAGAAATACAGCACAGGAGCGTTCTCTTTGGAAAGCCTTTTGATTAGATCGGCAGCGATGACGGATTTCCCAGAGCCGGGGATTCCCCTGATCCAGAGCAAGCCTTGATCTTCCGATCCATGCCATGTAGTGAAGGGCTTTGAATCGAGGAGCCAATCTCCTGTGCCCTCGAGGTGGGATAGCCGATGCTTATCGTATTCTCCATTTTGGGCGCTGTAGGGTGTTGCTTGCAGCCACTCGCGGATCTTAGCCTTGGTCTCGTCCGGCACAGGGAGAATGCCCTGTTCGTTGAAGTCACTTATGTCGTCTTGTCCGAGGACAACAGCATCGCTCAGAGTCTCGTCCGTGGACATGTTGCATCTGTTTTGGTACGGCGAAGTGCTGGCAGTGATGTTTTCTCGCTTTCAAGAACGAATTGTGAAGGTTGTTTCATGATGGGCTCGTTGGGAGGGGCTGGCGCGAATATATGTAACCTCTCAGCTTGGCCCACATATGCCAGGGAAAGCTGCGTATAGAGATAGTGAGAGCATTGAATGGTCAGCTGTTGGGTTGGGCATCCATCGACAGTGCTGCTGAGGGATACTGAGGAGGAAATGCATGTGAAAAACTCGAGCCATGCATATTTCAGGTTTCGGGGCTGCGGGATAAGAAATGCATTAGCAGCCTAAGATGCAGGCGCGCCCGAGCTGCCATGGAGCCCATTGAGGAGTCACCGTCACGCGCGACATGGACGATGTTGGAAGAGGTCTGGTGGTTGGCTGTCTTTCAGTGGCCACCATTGACAAAATGCACCCGAAGCCGCCGATAGCACGCTATAAGCTCGCTATCGATACCTGCCCGCACTGTAAATTGGCCCCAGAGCTTAGGTGTCTCACCACTGAGCTGCGCTGGAGGGCACACGTGCAACCTTTCAGAATACACAATCTCTCCGCAACGTTGTATGGAATGGTAAAAGAATTAAGGATACGGGGCACATGAGGGATTCCACATCGTCCGAGTATGGCTTTCCAATCCTGGCTGACCGGAGGTAGCCATGTATTTTGCCCCAAGTCCCCAGATCCTTCGGGCATTATTGCCTCTGATCAAATCACAGTAAGCTCCTGCATGACGTCAGCAGTTACTGGAGCTCACTGTAGTTGCTTCAAGTCCCTTAACAGCAATCTGCCAGCGCGAGGATCTGCCATCAATTTGGCTACCCGTGCTGCCGCGAAATCTGGTCATTTTTGCAGCTGAGCCGCAGCGAAATGATGATCCGTAGCTGGCCTGCTGTCGCAAAGCTGTTTGTCAAGCAGGCAAGGTAGTCATGCATGGCGGTCGGCCCGCCCAAGAAGTGCACAGGGCAGGTCCAACCCTTGCCGCTTCTCAGTATTGAATCTGGCTCCGGCTTCAACCAACAACCTGGACTGCCCCGACTTTTCCTCGAAACCAGCATACGCTGTCAACTGACCATGCTGCCAGGGGAGTCCACGGCAATACCTCCTCCGGCGATATCTTCTTTTGCTCCACAATGGCAACGCAGCATCTGTCTGCGTCCTTGTCCAAAACGCTAAAAGTGGGCTGTCGATCGCCCCAAGGTCCCAGCTTCGCTCTCTGCTTATTAGTGCTTATTACTTAGCATTGGGCAAAATTCGACTTCACCTGGGCTAAAGAATGGGTGAGCAAGCCCTGCTGGGACTTTGAAACCTTAGGTCCCTGATGGAGCTTACTACGGGGCAAAAAAGGCCCTTGAAGGGAGCTATATAATATGTGAGCAGTTCCCTGTTCAACATTACTTGGATTTTTATCCAGTAACATTAAGAACTGTTTCCATTAGCTTTGTTTCCCATCAGAAGACGTCGAGATATCCTTGCAATCGCACCGCACCGAACCACCATGGCCCCTAAACTCAAGACACACCTCACTGCCCTGGTGGAAACGGCTGCCCGAACTCCATCTCTGCCAGCAGTCAAAAACCCCAAGTGGTCTAAGCAGGGCATATTTGAGGGCTGGGAGACGATTACCTACGCCCAGCACCTGGAAAATGTCGAGAGGGCCGCTCGTTACTGGAGCAATGAGTTCTCGAATAAAGGACTTAAGCAACGTGACACTGTTGCTATCTGGTACGATTCAATCATTGAACCTAATATATTCGGTCAAGCTAATCGGAAGAATAGGGTCAAGGGGTTGTCATATATCGATTTCTTGCACATTTGGGGTATCACGAGGGCCGGATACGTTCCTGTCGCAATCTCTCTCCGGCTTACAAGCATCGGCCTTGTCTCGGACCTGGTCCAAAAAGCGGGTGCCAAGGCTATCATATACGAGGACTCAGTCTTTCCAAACCTCGAGATGGATGTCGTCTGCCTGCCCGCGGTTGATATTCTCTCAGCCGAAGTCGGCCGCCTGCCGCTCCCCGAGTTGTGGATCCCCAGGAACGATGATGACATTATCCTCAACTACCATTCCACAGGTTCGACATCAGGAATCCCCAAGCTGGTTCCAGTGACCGCAAGGTGGCTTGACTTTGGCCTTGAAAAACTCGATAGTTGCCTAAAGGATGATTCCAACTCGGAGAAGCAACAAGTCCTCGCCATCAAGTAAGTCCTAGACAACTCCTTTTACCACTACATTTTTCCTTCTGTCAACTAACAGTATCGTAACAGCGGGAGCTTTTGCCATCTGTCCGGAACTCTGTGCGCGATGGGCAGTCACCGTCTCGGCCATTGCGTCGTCATCAGCCAAGCCATTCCTCCCACCCAACAAGAAATATCGATACTGGTGAATGAGCATGGGCTCACCCGACTCTTCATGTTTGCCAATTTCGTCACAGGCATGGTCCGAAAATCCCGTACTGATCCCGCCGCCCTCTCGCTCTTGCAAGGCCTCTCTCTGGTATTCAGTGGCGGGGCTCCGCTGGATCCCAGAGAGGAGGCATGGGCGCGGGAGCAGCGTGTCAACTTGCTCGATGTCTATGCAAGCACCGAGGTTGGAATAATGTTGTCAACAGCCAAGGGTGATGGTGCGAATCCTGCGTATCTGCGACCCTTCCCGGGGACCAAGTACAGGTTTGTCGCCGAAGATGGCCCAGAACAAGACAATTCACCCGGGGAGAGATTGTTGGAGTTGATAATACCTCCTGAATCTCGTGATTGCCCGCACGTCTCTCTCCGGAACCCGATGACAGGGGATTTTCACACTGGAGATTTGTTCGTAGAGGCGATCCCAGGCCACTACGTCTACAAGGGCCGCAACGATGACTGGATCAAAATGATGGTTCCCCTCCGCTGTGATACAAAGTCCATCGAGGATAATGTCATGGATCTATGTGGAGCAGACCTAGTCAGCGCGGCGGTGTGTGTTGGTACAGGAAGGCCATCTCCTGTCCTGCTTGTTGAGCCGTTGACGGATGCGGCTTCAGATGTATCTCTGAACGAAGAAATTCTACGCCGCATCACTCCCTTCCATGAAAGGAGATATGATCATGAGAGGATCGAGAATGCGAAGCACATTTTGGTCGTTCCTAAGGGAACTCTCCCCAGGACAGCCAAGGGTGGCTTCCAACGGCAAGCCGTTGAGCGAACCTTCAAAGAGGCTCTGGATAAGCTCTTTGCCTAGATTTAGTCTGGAATGAACCTTGATGTATATATCGACAGCTTAGTACAATGTCTACTAGGGAAGGTTGAGCTAAATATATTGGTTTTTTTTTATTTAGTTTTATATCATTTCTCATTCAAATCAGACGCACAAAAGACTCCGTTTCATCCTGTCCAATATTCACATCGTAACAAATTTTGCTTATCCATCCAACCATTAAAGACCTTATATCTCCCTAAACACCTTGGCGATACCCCCAACTTCAAGGGCACGAAGTCGTGTTCAGAAATCAGATATTCCAAAAAGAAAAAGGGAAAAAAGAAAGAAAAGAGGAAAGATGAAAAAGAGAGAGAAAAGAAGAGGAATAGAAAAGCGCAGATCACTCGATCCGCAGTTACCAGTAGTTAATTGTCCACATCCAGACTGGGGTACCATTCAATCTTTCGCCTTCCATGTAGGCCGCCAGCTCGCTCCACAATTCCGGATGATCATCTGCTAGGGATCTCTCTTCTTCGCTGACAATATTGAGGTAGAAGGTACGGTCTGCCTCCGGAGCGTCTGCCTCCAGAGGGTTAGGAATGCGAGATCGGCTCAGCTTCTCTCGCAAGAGATCCACTGCTTTTCTCGGGTCCACATCCTTGGATGGAGCTTTATATAGTTTGCTAGTCTCCCGAGATTGGCTCAACTTTTCTCGGAAGAGATCCATTGCCTTACACGGGTCCACATCCATATCCATGGATGAATCTCCAGCTAGACAGCTAGGATAGGCGCTTTTGAGCCTTCGGGCAAGCCCCGCAATGTGCAGCTGGGAGGGCGCCACGGATGACAAATGGATCCTTTTAAGCTGGGGCGAGGCGCTGATGGGAGGGACACCGCGGAGCGAGGACAAGACCGTTCCGGACAGCTTTAGCCGATGAAGGAACCGAGTATATATATGGCCTTCGAGAGACACCTCATTGAGGCATGGTGCGGAGAGCAACGCGGTAAAGAACCACCTATAAATGCACTTCCGTGGCGTCGAAATCAAGTTGAAACGGTCTTCATCTTCAACACACAATCGAGGGATCCGAAGAACCTTGAGGTGGCGAAAGGAATCGCTCAACCACCTCCAGTCGGTTAGTTCCGTGTTGACCAAGACATCGATATGATGGGGTAATGGCGGGCAACGAAGCTGAAAGCCAGCCAACACCCCCTTGGCTCGATGAATCTGTAGCGGCAGATCGGCGATGAGGGAAATTGGCATTTCCCGCCGTATATTTCCTTCGGCGTGCAGCTCCATGTACCAACCCACATCAGCCGAAAGGAAGTCGCGCAAGACTTGTTCGGATCTGAAGACGGTCCGCGTCTCGTACTTGCCGCGCTTCGGGAGATTCCAGGTTCTCTCGAAAAGCTCGAGAGCTACTGGCCGGCCCGCCTTGGCAGCCAACTTACCGACCGCCTTGGCGAACTGCTTGGTTGAGATCAGCCGTGCCTGAAGGTCGTATGCCAACGCGAACGCGGCGTGACTTCCCAGGATGAGGTGCTTGTACTCGGCAATATCTTCCTCGAATAACCCGTTATATAAAGGGTCATCGCCAACATACGTTCGGCACCTCAGCTCCTTCTCAGCAGCCCCGAACAGCTTTGCCCTGCGCCAAGCATCGCGGAGGACTATTGATTCCTCCTGGAGCTCAGCTTCCCTTGCGGCACAGGGGGCGGGGGTAGTCTTTAGCCTGCATGCGTTCTGCGAGATTTCCGACGAGAGGAGACGTGCGCCGATTCCTTCACGGTAGCGTCCTAGCCAGGTTCGGAAATCTCTTGCAAGCCGCGTTGGGCGGTATTCGAGGCCGATACTAAATGCTCGGACGCCAGATGCCAGTAGGGGGTTCTTCATGATGCGCCGCACCTTGAGGAACGAATCCTGGTCGACCGTGAGGTGGACAACGGGACAGAGAAGTGGGGATGCCAGGTCATTGAAAAGGTGGGACACCAGACGCAGGGATTGGACGGCGTGACGGTCTTCGTGGGGGAATGGGGGGACGACATCTTCTTCCAAGAGGCCATCTACTAGTGGTGCTGAGTATTGGAAGTTTTGGACGATCATCAGGAGAAGCTCCGTCGACAGATCAGTCAACTTGGTGGCTTTCACTTTCCCGGCATCGATGAAATTAGCCCTCGAGCAAAGGGCTTCGCGTTGTCGAGTGAAATGGTAGGCCGCCACTACCCATAGAGCCTGGGAGAGAGAGGAGGTTAGAATGTGCCTACGGCGTAGGTGCTAAAGGATGGGCTACCTCTGGTTTGTCTTCCAATTCATCGTTCGATTGCAAGGTCTGTTGATCACGTATAAAGGCTTGTTCCATTCGTTCAGTTTTGAAAAGCTCTTGGTAGACTGAAGGCAGGTCCTCGAAGGAACTGGCATGAGGCCAGTCCTCCGGAACGATGCCGTACTTAGCAAGACGCTGTAACGGGGTAGGCATTGTCGTTTACACTCGTGGGATGACTAAGTCAATGGATGGAGAAGAGAGCAAGGAAGGGTGATGGAAAGAGGAAGGCAGGAGGAAGAAAGGAGGGGGGATGGAAGAAGTAAGCAAGGGGAGGGGCAGGGAGGTGATTGAGGAGGGGAAGTGAGCTCAAACCCCGCTTGGACCTCAGGTTTTGCTTTGTCTCGCCGCCTAAGCGAACCACATTACATGTCACATTCGGGCAGCAGCTCACATCTGGGCCTCCAAGCAGGCGGCCGAAGCGGTACAAGAGAGACAGGGAGAATCCATGATAGTGTTCCACTTTTGGGGCTGTGTCTACGCCACTTAATCATGTTGGGCGTATACGAGATGGAGGTTACCTAGGTATACACCCGTCACAACATATGCAGAGGAGGGCAGAGTGGCTTGATAGTTCCAGTAGGCCTAGCCTTATAGAACGAAGGATCAAGATGTGGCCAATTTTGTAAAAAAAACTACTTCCATCAAGCAGTGTTGTTATTGGCGGCGGCTTCTCTGCAATTTCTCTGCAATTCCTAACACGGCAGTGATATCCCATGGGGGACTGAATAAGGGGATGTAGCTGTCTGTCCCGAACTCGAGACTGGTTTCCAGCCTTTTCAGCGACCGCAAAAGAGGTGCGTAGCAATTAAACCATTGACGGTTCACAAAAAGGCAGATTTCTTCGTACAGCATCCGCATAGCGACATCGCACAGCGGAAAGTTTCGGCCAGGTTTCAAGGCGCTCTTTTCCGATGCCGGCAATGTCCTCCCTCACAACGGCAACTACAGTCTCTAAAGATCTCAAAATCATATTCCCCTTTGGCCGTGTCGGGATCTTTCCCGGGTTGCTCTCTGTGGCTGCCAGGAGCCAGTGTTTGGAAAACGGCGTGCACAATCGCGTATGGGAGGCCTGTGATGGGCATCATTCCGGGTCCGAAGGCGTGCTTGCAAGTACCTATGAGTTGGATTCATCATAGTAATGGCTAATTCACGTTATAGCTATTTTGAGGCCTTTCGTCAGGGCCTGCTGCGCACTCTTTCGTGTGGTCAAGTACCACGACACGTTTTCGTTGTGCTGCTCCGTGGTGATGTTGTTTAGATCATTCACACTCTTGGGTTCTTCCTCGAAGATCACCCTGGAACGCCTATCAACCTCGTTAAATTCAGGGTCTGGATCCAAGTCAGGAACAATCATAACGGCTCGTAGGTCCGTCAAGCTACGCCTCTTAGCCCTCTGGATCATACGGACAAAACCTTCCGGGGGATTTTCTTCGCCTTTATCGAGGTGGGAAAGGGATCGATCATAACCTGATGAATTTCAGATACGGTAGGTACCTACGACCGCAATTCTGACGCAGGTCGCGAGGCCGACTGTGAGCCAGCAATCAGACCCCAACCAGCGCCAATTATCTTCGCGATGAACAGCTAGTTCTAGGACTTGTCTGGTCCCATCGGTAATCGGATGAAAGTTACTGTCGATTGCAAGACGTACATTCATCCAGATTTGAGTATTCAAGGGATGAGCCAGTAATTGTCGAGCCCACCCCAGATGGACTGGGCGGTTTTGCTCCCATTTTCACGGCATGGATGAAGCGACTGGGGCTTGATATGAATAATGCCGGCCACAAGGCCCTCCGAAGAGTATTATCCAGGATCAATAGAGTTTAGAGACTTAAGATTTTGAACTAAGTCTTACTTTTAAAAGTTCAAGTGTATGTAGTATGGCTGCAGACGTAGTCTTATGGTATCAAAAGAACCTCACAATGGCAAGAAAGGTATTTGTTTACAAGGCAAGTCGACTCGTCATGTAGAATTCCGCGCGGAGAATATCTGTATTTATCAGAATAGTGAAATACAATGTGCCTGATACGTACACAATGTAAAAAGAGATGCTCAAATTACGCGTTTCAAAGAGTCCGCAAGCCATCACTTCGACCTCACCACCGGCCAATACGTTCGGTACTTGCAGTAGGCAACTCGCTATGTACCCAGATATCGCATTTTGGTGGCAGCCAAGCCCTACATAGGAAAATAAATACCTACCCGGGACAAATTATATGTGCTCTACTTCTCCCCCCCCTCCCCCTCCCCCCTCTAAATATTTTCCCCTCCTGCAGCCAACAACAAATCCAATCCTCACAGCAAACATGAGTTGGCAACAGTGTCCTAGCGAAATTCGCCTCCATATCATGGAGGAGATTGCGAGCGGCGAAGACCGCCGCAACATACCCGGTCTGGCTCGCGTCTGCCGAGACTGGCAGGACTTCTTCGAACCCCTCATATATAAGGAGGTGGTCCTCGATGAAAATGTTCTTGCTGCCTTTGAGGCTACCGTGGCAGCAAACAATGCCAAGTTAGCTGCCGTCGAGGCAGTGATCTTTCGCGTCAAGCTGCCGGAATACCAATACCCCCTGTGTCTAGGGCCAGAAGACGACGAAACCCTCGAAATGTACGTTATATCAAGGCTCGCCTTCCTCATTCCTTCGCAATTCGCTTACCGAAATGTAACCTATGATCAACTAACCTTCAACAGGAACGACCGGGCTTTCACATATCAGATGTTGGCGCTACTTGAGATGCTTTCTGTCTGGCACGTATCAAAGAGCAACAGAATCACTCTTGGACTTGCCGCTTTCACACCAAGTGACAACGAGCACCGCTTCTTCTTCTGCGACGACGAGGAAGACCACCCCTTCCAATTTGAAGGGGATTTGCGGAGATCTCCGAACTTGTTGGAATACTATGATCATAACATCGGGGAGAGCACGCGTTACATTTGTCCCTCCGAAGATCATCACGACCAGCCCAACGAGATCGAGGAGAGGGCCAGGGTTTGCGGGGATCCTCTCCGTTTCATAGCAGAAGAGGTGGAACTACCAATCCTTCCAAGAGTCCCTATCGTGGAACATCTCTTTGTACGCCGACAGAGGTTCAGAAGCATTGGAGTAGAGTCCGTCTCTCACATTGCCCGTACGAGCCTCACACAGTTGAGATCGCTCCAGTTCGAGAGACGAGCTGCTCAAGACTTCAATGTCAATATAACTGAGTCTGAAGGTACGTATCAATAATGATCGCCGTGATTCAAGCTACAGCTAACCAATCGCACCTAGCCCAAGCTCGAGCCTTACTCCATCGCCTTCCCCGTTCTCTTCGCCAGCTGTCTCTTACCGAATGGACGAGTTTTCATAGCACTCTTGACTTTGCGTGGAGCCCATCTATGCTCAGAGCTACAGATATGGCCAGGGTATTTCAACACTTGACGGATTTCGCAACCAACTGCATTGGGACCGTGGATCACATCTTGACTAAGATGACCACCCCTGGGATGTGCCGAAGCTTGAAGCGGTTGAGCCTCACCCCCCAGTCATTCAATCGCAAGATTTCCTCCCCGCAAGCTATAATGGGTACAATTGAGCGGTCTGCGGAGATTCTTCCCGCCTGTCCCAACCTACGCGTCATGGAGCTTTGGGGTACCAGGGGCGGCGATGGCTATATTTTCCGATACAAGATGGACCGTGGAGCCAGAAGAGCTTCGATCACTTGGAGCACCTGCCGGTCAGACATCCCTTCTCTCCACCGTGCCGTTGAGAACAGCTGGCTCGATGTCACGACCAATATCGGCGACCACCCGCTGGCCATCCACATAGAGAACATCAGCGAGACAAAGCATGCCATGGAGTCCAATCGCGGACAGCCTCTGCTGAAACATCTGGAGCTTCGGCGCCTTTTGTTGCACCCCCTCACCCTCGCTGAGATTGATGCTAAGGACGAGCTCAAGCGAATCTGGGGTCGACGCAGCCTCCCTCGTTCCAATGTTGAACTGTGAAGAAAATGGAGATGATACCTTGAGAGCCAGTGAAGGTTTCAAGTGACCTGGAGTTCCGAGGCGTGTGATTTTGATCATCCCTACTGGCCAGCTACGACTATCATGACTGACGTGAAGAAGAAAGAGAATAGAAATTCTGCGAAGAAACTTTAAGTTTTGTTTGGTTTTGATACTCAGGCAGCAAAGACCTCGAGGTACGAGGCGTATGATGTGATTCCAGTCACCCTTCTGGGCATGGCTGTAGATTGCTGGAGTTAGGTTTCGAAATGATAATTGTTTGTGTGACTTTGGTTTGTCCCATTTCCCCCATGACCATCGTGACGAAGGTTGGATACGAGATATGGCCTCTTGGCTGGCGAAGATTCAAAGGTGAATCACATCACAATACTGATTTTACTCTTAGTGTCTTGGTGAAGGCTCGGCTCGAAATAAAACACAATGGGTAATGTACTCAAAACTCAGCAGGCAAAGCACGACGCCATCGATTGATCATGACACCTTTCACAGTCTAGGCGGAAGAACGAAGAGAAAGCTTGCGCTGACGAGTTGTCAGTGGAACAAAGTTAACCATTATCTCTAACGATACTAATCCGGCCCGCCGAGATGCATGCGAGGATCGACTCTCCTCGAAGTTCGTCCATGTTTCTCATGTCTATTATGCATATTACAATTCTACGAAAACAAAACAAGAGGCCGTTGTCTGAATGTCATACGCTGAAGCTGCCTTTTCCGTCCCGGAAAACCTCGTCATACCAATGTGTCCTCACATCGGGAGTCTCCCCGCCTGGTCGGCACATGTCTTCGAACGAAATCTCGCCGAGTCCAGGATTGTCCAACTCGGCCTTGAACACTCGTGGGCGGTGGCCCGTTAGATCTGCAGCCAGGGGCCAGTAGACCAGCTTGTCCTCGTTGCCTGCAGGCAGCGTGGCTAATGGAGAGAGGTCCTGCACGTCCTTGAGCCGGAGGGAAAGCAGCTCTCGCAGATGAGGGAAGAACCAGGTGCGGTCCCACCACTCCGTCACCCTGGCCTTCAGACCGTCTCGGTAGGCATCGTGATGTAAGGTGACGGGCACGGAGCCGGAGAAGAAGTCTGCGTAAAGCGACATGTTCCCCCAGTGCAGGTTGCCGATCACCCCTGTCGGGACTTTGGCGTCCTTGAGATCGGGCGGGACGCCGACGAGGCGTGGCTTCTTGATCTTTAGGTCTTTAGATCGTGCCTTGATATGCGCCTTATCGTCAATGAGAAGAAAGTCGCCGTCCGTCTCAGCGTGGTTCGTGGGCGCGGACAGGACTTGCCCATAGTCCAGACCCACGTGAAACTCAAAGTTGTCGTCGAGCATGTCTGTCCCCTCGCCGGTAGGGAACGCCCGCTTGCCCTCCTTGTGCTGGTCCAGAAGCCATTGCCGATAGATCTCCTGCTCGGCAAAGACTTCGGCAAAGATGCCCTGGTCGGTCTGGATGAAACGCTCCCCTTCACCCAACTTCCTGTCCAGCTTCTCCTTGACCCGACGGAAGTATCTGTGCAGGTCGGCTGCTGGACCAATGATAAACCCACTGTTCAGGTACCGCGGGCGTAAGTCGTGAAATCGCATCGACTCGTCTGCGGGTTGTTCGATGTCAGTCTTGGAGCCGTAGAGGTCCTTCCTGGCGGGACTCTCAGGCAGCTTATCGCAGTGCAGGTCGGAGCCCATGTCTTCGCTTGGCCAGCATCGTTTCTGCGCCGAGACAATGATGGTTTGCTTCATAGGGATTTCCTCGCCGCTGCGGCCGGCCCAATCCTTCTCCAGCCGCTTGTTCGCCTTGCCATTTCCCTCGTGGTATCGTGCGAGAAGCACTTCAGGGGGGAGCTGGAACCAGGCATCGCTCGGGTCGACCATTGCAACCAAGTCTTCGGGCCGTAGTCGGTGTCCGTCGAGGGCTTCTCCTCCCAACATCTCGTCCAGATACTCGAGCACGCCCGTTATCTTCAAAAGGTTGCTTCCACCCTTGTTCCCCCATCGCTCGCGGGGGTCTGCCTCCCAGTTCACCAGGACAGGCATCGGGTAGCCCAGAGCGAGGGCGCTGGTGACGGCCTTGCAGACGGACAAGCCCGGTTTATCGGCGGGGAGGACGAGAGCGAGACGGCGATCGCCGGGTGTCGCGTCGGTTTCGAAAGGTTCAGGCTGGTGCCCAAACGAAATCATCCCATTGTCGTCAATGATCGGCCGCGTGAAGTCGTGGTCGTATCCGATGCACTGATGCCACGCAAGATTGGGTTAGCTGCTGCTAGCATGATGCTGCCTTGTTCTGGGCGGGATTGGCAGGGCCTTACCGAGCTCAAGGTGCCCGTCAGGAGAATGACGACGATGGCAGCCAAAATGATTCGAATGGCGGGGAGGCGAATGATCCAAGCGCACGCCTGTCGTCCACCCGGACCGCTGGCTAGAGGCAGCCGGTATCGCGATCCATGCTGTCCCGTACCGGCCTTGGAGGGATACGGCGTCATCTCGACTTCGTCGGCCGCCATGCTCGCATCGGTGGTTGTGGCCTGCGGCTCGGACGACAGACTGTATCGCGAGATGGGGGGAAGAAAGGGGATCCGATCGTGCGACAACCAGCAGAATTACCCCATATTTGGTTTGGCATTGAGAGTAGGAGGCACCTGCGCCCGACTCGCTGGCCACAAGTCCGCAGTCTGCCTGCCCAGCAAGCGTGCATAATCCAGGCCAAGCATCTTGGCGACTCACTTGGCGCTTACGTTTTGGACTTTTCGTTGTGCCGCTTGTGTTTGATTTAGATACGATGCACAATGTCGCTTGTGCAGCTCATGCCGACTGTGCCGCGTGTGCCACAGCGAGTTTTCAACACTGGCTGGCGTTGTCTCCCAGGCCACATTCAGGCCATTCTCGCTTGTTCTTGGCTGTTCAGGAGTTGCCAGCCGGAAGATGATCGCTCCCAAGCAATCTCGATATCAGTTGGATGTGGGGCTCAATTTGCTGAAGTCCCGTTCAACCGCGACTCTGCCAATCGAGGAAAGGGGGCACGCGATCGCTCAAAGTTGTGCACTTATTATTCTGGGTGACCACCGCATTGCCGTTTATTTTATTATTTTATTTCTCGCATTTCCTCGGCAGTCTTTGTGCCTCCTGCACGACATCAGGAAAGGCCACAGAGGAAGAAATGGCCAACATTACCCTTGATGGTTAGGTAGTAGGGATAATACGACCAGCCGATCGCTATACGAGGCCACTATGACGTCCGTGCTTGCTGTCCTTAGGTGGGCCTCCTCTATGAAAATCCAATGAGCAGAACGCCCTTATCAAGGCCTGCTGGAGTGTTTCCAAAATGGAGAAAACGTATTCTCTGATAATTAAGAACGCCTCTTGAGCGACATCTTTTTGCGAATGCCATTAACTCCATATTCTCTATCATCTAGATAACCTGGTATGATGACCTCTTTGGCGACTTGGTGACTCCCTTTCCTAGGTCAATCGTGTGCAAGCTATGGCCGCCAATGTTTTCTTCCAGATCAGAACCCGACTCGACAAATATATGCTCCTGTGATCTAGACCGCACATGTTCAGAACCCTGCGTTGCCCGGGTCTCTCCCTCTCGTATAGCTTGGCTTTGCCCCGGGGGAGTCTTTGAGCTCGATCCAACACTCAATTGAGACACTTTAATTATTTTAAAGTGCTGCAGAAACAGCGGAAAGAAGGGTATACACCCGACAATCATGGTTCCCGTAAGTTCAGCGAACCTGTTCCTCTCGTTAGATAGGTATACAACATCAGTTGGGGAAGCGGGTGGCTACTTACGACCAAAGACCGACTTTGGCCATATAGAAGACGGCACTTGAGCTGTCGTCTTTTGGAATGCGGAATGCAATGCTCACTGCCGCTATGATGCACGTGCTTGTCCCAGTTGTCAGCTTCAGCTATATGGTTTGGGGCTAGCTAGAACGCAACTTACAGGATGCCCAGTGAAAACACCGCGTAGGCTTCTAGCTTGCGCTTCACGGGTATCTGAAGCTTCCAGATGGCCCAGATGGGAACAAGCAAGATGCCTAGGTCCAAAACCAGGTTGGCAACGCCAATTGCCAATATGCCAACGAACGATTTCATACAGGAGCCCGGAAGGTCGGGCCTCCAGATTTTCTCGCGGGGGATGCACTGGAACATCTGCGCAAAGAAAGTGGTGAAGTAAAACATGACATTGATGGTAATCAGGGCCACCAGGGCCCAGTGCACAGCTCCTCTGTTGGAAGGACAGAAGATCCTCTTAAGATGGATGCAGATGAAGTATTTGGCAGCGCCCATTGCGGGCGAGTATAAGAGCTGGAAATCATTACATAGCTAGATGTTTTGTTCAGTGCTGTTTCCTCTTCTGCGTATGGAACAGTTGGGTATCGGGTATTGGGCCCTACTAACTCGCAGTAACCCGGGCATATCACTCGCCCTAATATTCCATAGATCTCGACTCAGCCCAAGAGCGGAGAGGTAAGTGTAAATAGGACCCCAGGCTAAGAAAATGACCTATGATGACACGTTAGGAGCTGGAATCGCTCAATTTGCGCTCAAACACCTACCAAAACCAACAGTGCGACATCTTGAATCACATCCAAGGTCAGCAACAAAGCAGCGATGTGAGTGGGACAGGGCAACGTACAGTCTTCATGTCGCATATCTCGAAGGATAACGGCTTTCGTGTATGTCCGGACACCCACTACAACGATCATAAGAACCAGGCAGGTGATGCAGACGCCCAGATTCACCGAGTGCAGCGATGGCGGGTTCACAAAGTTGGGGTCGACTCCGGGAGGCGGATCAGCGGCTGGGGTGTCGTTGGAAGATGTATCCGTCATCTCGAAGGCGCAATGGGGGTTTCGCAGAGCCTCATGCCTACCACCACGGTCGGGTTCGCTCCTCCGTCCGGGTCGTTGAAGAAGGAGGGATGCTCTTGGGGATGAATGCAAATCAGACGCGCAATTAATTTATCTGCATTGCAACGCCTGCTGAGTGTTGTCCATCTCAGCTGCGGCAAGGTGGGGTTAGTTCGGCATCTGCTGCTTTAGTCCACCGGCGAATCCTTCGTGGTTTCAGCTGCTCGGTTGAAGATTCAATTCCACGCTGGTTCTCATGCGGAGGCGGCGTTCTCGGTTACAAACTCTGCTTTGCTGCGCTTTGCTGTCCTTTGCCGCTCATGTTAGCTGAAGGCATCGTGACTCGGCCATTGAGCCTCGGGCAAATTCTTGAAACCCTACAAACATACCTCTTCCTCTCGTGTTCCCTTTTCGCTGGCAGTTGGAGGCTTGCCGACCCTTGCAAGAGGCCAATCCCCAGCTTCAGCCTTCGAGCCGCTGAACCGACAATTGGCACTTTTAGCCTTGCAATAGTCGTTGCTACAACTTGCTAGCTGGACCTGGAGCGATCCGCGCTCGTCGCGCTACGACGCTTTTCGTCCAGCGCCATCTGCTAACGGCTTGTTAAATGTCGATTAAGGTGGGGATCAATTGAATACGCGCGCATTCGGCCTTCGTGCTGAACATGGCATGGTAAGAAGCTATTAATATAGCATTGCTGCACCCGCGTATTCCCTGTTCTTTTGGTCTTTGGGGACTGATGTTGAACATATCGAGGACTCCGCGTGTTGCTCATTGTCGCCCATATGCCGCTTTGGATATTAAAGGAATGAGCGAACGAATGAAATTGTTGTAAACTAGAACTTAAGAAATTAAAGGCAGTAGCTAAGTGTCAGGCACCATTGACATCTAACCGCCGTGGAGTATCGCGATCACGTGTAGATAAGGGGTGCCTGGATTCTCAGCTTACCCTATACTGCAACATCTCGGGATCTTGGGTTCAATTCGTATGAGGTTGACGAAGTCCTTTGGTGGTGCACTAGCATGTCCAAAGCTCGGCAAAATGTCTAGGCTGGGAGGTTTATCTATATTAAAACTGAATATACTACGGAGAATTGCAGGGAGTATTGTAATCTAGGTACTGTACGACAACTACATCCTGTATTTTAGAAGCAAAGTCGACTGGGTATTGAGAGAACAAGGGTCTCATTTGATACAAATTTCTAAGATATAACTGTGCGATATTGAGATCCTACTATTGCTCGTCATCAACTAAACATAAATATCGCCGTGGAACTTGTGTTGCTGAGGGTTGAAGTAAGTGACCACACGCAGGTTTCCATCGCTTTGCACTGAGCATCCGATATATGTGTGAATGCCAAGTGAGGAAGATAGATCATGTGCGTTGCTATGAGTATATCAGTAACTCGCATCTCTCAAAAGTCGCAAGAAAGTAAGAAAGGGAGGCGCTGGACTCACAAAACCTTGTACAAGCATGAGGCATAGGAAGCCGTGTACTTCTTTGTCAAATCAGAGTGCCCGAGCTTTTTCGCCTCGCCATTAAGGAAACCGGTCACGGTCTCGATGATTTGCTGATCGCTCTTTGCGTAGTGACGGGCAGGGATATACAGCTTCACTTTGGGGGTCGAGCTTTGTACTTTAAACTCCACATTAAACAGAATGCCGGCAGTCCGGTGGCTGTTATGTCGGAGTGGCATGTCATCCGGCTGGCCCTGTGTGCCCAGTAGTGAGTGCCACAGAGCTCTCAGTTTCCCCAAGCCTTCATCGAGGTTTTCAACCACGCCACCTAAAGACATGATCTTGTGGACGGTGGAAAAGTCCGTTTGACGACATCGAAAGTAAATCTTCAGTCGGGATTGCGCGGCGTCGACGAGGTCTAGAGCCAACATCTCGACTTCAAGTGCCAGTTCCTTGTGTTGTTCCACGAAGTTGATGAAGGTGTATAGTGGCTTCAGATCGGAGAACTTCCATGTTGGTGCGGAAGATATAGCATCGTGGATGACCTCCAAGTTGGACCTGTTGGTGGCTTGGGCTACCATCCCCGGGAAGAAATAGGCTTTGGCAGTATTTTGGCTCTCCTTGAGATCAAACGCCCAAAATATCGTTGACTGATGGCCTTCGGAAAGTCCATCTCCCCAACGGCTGCCAAAGGTCTTTTCGAAATGTTCAAAAAGCTCCGTTTCGATTTGTGGGGATGCCTTCAGTATCGATCGTTTAAACAGCAACGGGGCTTTCGTGTTGTTGGGATCGGCAGTGCTGCCCGCATCGAGGCCAATGGGCTCAATGGAGTATCGTATCGTCGGTTGTTGAGTGCCCGTGTGGAAGTCCCAGCTAAGTTCGATTGGGTTGTGGTCGTCAGTCATGAAGCTCTTCCAGCGTCCTGTGCCCAGCCCGGGAGGCAAACCCAGATGAGGAGCAATGATTTCCGCAAATTCGCCCAGTATCCTGAGCTGAGCCTGTTGGCTATACCCGGCCTTTTGGAGCAAGCTTGCTAGCAAGTAGCCTGCCGTACGATACCATTGATGCTCGGAGAAGCTGGCAAGGCTTTCATGGCTTGGTTCGGTACGCTGCCATGTTTCAGGCCGGTTGATGGGTTGATTGGTTAAAGCAGTCATTCTTCAATACCGATCTGGTTTTCAACTGTCAACCAAGGCTTTGCCAGTGGCGAAGAGTTGTCAATGCGTAGAAGGTTTCCATCACTGGTAAAAGTAGGAGGGGAGTTAATAACACCGACACCTCTGAGTCTAGGCGATACGAGAAGGCTCGCAACCTCGCTCCGTCTTTCGGACTTACTACTTACATCCTCACAGATATTCCCCTAGGTCTGGTAACATCTGTCGGTGTAAGAATAGCGCCATATCAGGAGGTACTTGGGTATGGCATTGTTCCTTTGCTACAACATTCGGGATGTTGATGCACACAAACAGTCTACTTCCTGCCTGTAGTAGGATTCTATCACTACTGAATAAGCAAAATATTCCTGAGTAAGCGCCTTTAGCTGGGTCACATATTCTCGATGGAGAAGGTGTCCGCTCGACATGGTTCGATTTGCTACCTTGACGACATTTTTTCTTATTTGGGGCTTGCTTCGCCGACCGCGTAACCAATGTACCAGTACATTCCGTCGATACATGTATTCAAGTGTATCAGGAAACTGCATGCCTATCTTGGAGGGAGGGCTAATACAGATTGGACCTTGATGATTTACATGGATTCCTCAGCTCGCCGTTCTCCCTGGCATGGACAGCTTACATGGGGTGGCGATGTCAGGGGTTCAAGGGCATGCGCAGCTTGGCAAGGAACGGGGAAGTGTATCCTTGAAACGGAGCAACCCGGAGAGGTACAGAGTACGTGGGCGACGCGAGTGCTTATCCACCTGCGAGGTGGCCTCAAGCACACAGCTCGTAACTCTGGTGCTGCCAAGATGAGATATGTGACAACGGAAACATGTAGAAAACTTTAGATTCATACGAGAATCGACTGTGAATAAAGAGCTCCAGTCTTGAGGCTAGAATCATGAATTGTGGAGAGTAGAAAGGTGATAATTATTACTGCTTTATGATTACTAGAATTTGCGCGTATAGCTGGATCCAGATCTTAAACTACCTCCTCACGTTCTTCCTTCTCCTGGGGCTTGGGGCGCGACTCGATGACATTCTTCTTGGGCTCTCTATCGACGCCCAGCCAAAGGAGGTCTGGTCGGCTGTAGTGTCCAACAATATCAATGAACCCCCGTGTTGCAACAACCTTGGTAAGATCAAGGTCAGCATACACAATACCTTCGGTAGCCGGGCTGCCGTCTCCCAAAGGCTCGGTCAAACGGCGGCCATCTGGGCCGATCACGCAGCTGTGACCACCGCCTGGCTGGAAGCAGGCCAGACCCTTTTGGGTTTGGAGGACCTCAATTCCCTTCTGCGTGCACACGGATGTGCAGTGGAGAACATAGGCTGTGCTCTCGATGGCGTAGGTCTGAGAAAGGTTCTGACTCCCCTCGGCAGTCATACTCCAAAGGCCAGGGTGGTTCACCCCAGTAGTGGGATCAATGGGTGGCCACATGGAGATGTGAATCGTCTCACCCTGAGAGATGCTATTGTACTTGAGAAGAGGCTGGGTATGCTCCCAGCAGGCAAGACATCCCACCTTGATCTTGCCGTGCTCGGGTCCGAAATCAACCTCCACCACATTGTTGAGGTCGGCGCCAGTTCCGTCACCGAAGATGGTGCGCTCCATGTGTGTGGGCTTGACCTTACGACGGTGCATCAACAGGTCACCTTGAGGAGAGATGATTGCCTGGGAGATGTACACGCTGTGGGAGGGGCTCTGCTCCGCAAATCCGAGGACGACGGCGATGGAGTGCTCCTTGGCGGCAGCCTTGACCAGGCCCATGGCCTCGGAGTCCACTGGCAGGGCATTGTAAATGTATCGAGTTTGGAGCTCAAAATCAACGGACCTTGCCCTTTCGTAAAATGTGAGCCACAGAGAGAGGACGCATCAAGGGAGGTGAAGTTTCGCTTACCAGATCCATGCGGGATAACCCGGGAGCCAGCACTCAGAGAATGCAATAAGCTTTGCGCCGTTCCCGGCGGCCTCCGCAATAAGGCCAATTGCCTTTTTAATAGAAGAGGCAAGGTCGAGGTAGACTGGCTCAGCCTGTGTAACAGCAACTCGGATTGGGGTGGCCATGATTGCGCTGGGCAGGTGCAAAAACTGGTTGGAATGGGAGCGTGATGGATGTCGAAGATGAAAAGGGGAAGATAATATGAAAACAGAAGAGACACAACGATATACAAGCACAAGAGAACAACCAACAGGACAGTTCTAAATATCCCGACCTGTAGGATCAACCAATGTTGGACCAACCAACAATGTAGACCCTGCAGCCAACAAATGAAACATGACAGGTGGTGGCGTTCCAACTGGCGCTCCCCAGCCAACAGGGCTCCAAGAATTGGCATTTGACATCTGCTTCCGTTGCATTTGGACAATGCTGGAGTGGGGAGAGAGTGACAGAGGTTAGTGTCATCATCTTCCTGCAGCTACCTACCGTAAGCATTTCTGAAGTCGTTCGAGTCTGCGGTGACATGGGGCCATCGCTGGCCGGAAGGGCGTATCAGGCACGTCCCTTTCCGCACGCCAAGTCGGATTTGTTTTAGGGGTAAGCAGCAGGGGCCTCGAGAAGAAAAGAACAGGCATCAGGACGCGCTCCCCGGTTCCCCGCGAGCCGGGGTAGTGCATTGAGCAGGTCAACGGGCAATATGCCGCGCTGCCTGCATAGTATCTGGCCATATTTTAGCCATTATTAATGTGAAGACTAATATTCTGCTCACCCGCATCACTCTTTTCCTCTTTTGTCCTTTGCTCGGACTCTATTACCTGCCAATATGGGATAGGCCTGGCATTAAGACCCGCTGGATAAACTTCTCGAGTGGAGGATCACCGTGACATGCCCTATGTATAGCTCTCAAGTGACGAATACCGTATAATTTTCTCGGCAGCGGCACAGCGTTGCACTTCTGTCCGTCTTAATCTATCATGCTTATGTGGGTGGATCGAACGCGTACCGAGATACTACCTCACAGGAGAAAAAACTCTTCCAACGGCACTCCAGTTTCCAGAATTCTCCGGCCGAGCGTATTCGACAGGGTTCGCCAGGAGAGAGGACAGTCGAGTGCACTGCAACCACACTTCCCCCTTTACCAATACGATGCAGGCATCAAGACAGGCATAGTCAGGCCTAAACACACTTGATCGCGTTGGGAAGTTATTGGTATTCCTTCCGTCGCCCATCCCGCCATAGCCCGACCTGCCTTCACCCGGGGGAGACAAGTGACCAAACGGAGTACGCCGATCAAGCACAGATAAATCACATACGCATCGGAGTGAGGATTTTGATCCATTCCTTACAAGCAGAAGGCACAATGGACCCATAAAACTGTCAATGGTGTCAATCATTCCTGTCTAGGATCTGAATCCGCGACCTGCCAACGAAAACGTTGACATATTCATGTCTCATCAAGTTCCTCTCTGGGATACGGATCCGTCCTTTGTTGGTAGAGTTGCACCACGGCAGTGCTGAGGTATTCACCTGAAATCGTCCCGGAAATGGAAGGGGGCGTCGCACGCCGAGACCGAATCCCCCTGGCCAGGACAGAGTACGCCCGTCCACCACAAGCGGCCTCCTCGCATGTGAATCTCTCCTTGGGAAGATGTGGCGAGTTTTTACCTAGCTTCTCTTGGTCTACTCTTTACCTACCTTGCCAGCCACTATCGCGATCCTGACATGTCTCAGAGGTAATCGATCTCGAAGCGCATCAAACTGGCAGCATCAGCCCCGTCAGAACAATGAGCGACGAATCTCTTGTTGGCCAGATTGTGGAAATATGGTTTCTTTATGTTATTGGGGCCGTCATGATAGGCGCGCGCATCTTCTGCCGCACTAAACTGGTCGGGTTTGCAAACTACCAGCTAGATGACTACATCATTGTGGGTGTGGCAGTGAGTGTTTGAATATCGTGTTCCACGTCCTGAGGAGGAGACTAATTCACTATTTATTTTCATAGTGCATGTGGACGGCAGCACCTGGCATCGGCCAAGTGTTCGTCCAAGTCGCGGAAGGCCGACACACATCCGACCTCACGTACGACGAGCGAAAGAACATGAGCGACGAGGAAAGGGCAAAATGGACCTATGGCTCGCAGATGTTTCTGTTCGGTCTCACCGGATACTTCTTCATCGTTTGGATGCTCAAGTTCAACATGCTTTGCTTCTATAGCCGTGTCGTCCGTCGAATGTGGACAGAGAAATTCGTCAAGCCGGCCATGGCCATCGTTATTTTGTCTGCTGTTGTGATTGTGTTAACAATTGCGTTGACATGTCGTCCATTTCAGCATTACTGGCAGGTCTGGCCAGACCCTGGACGTATGAACGAACCTATGAGAACACTCGCCTTCCTTGCCACGATACTGACGACCGAATAGCCCAATGCGTGCCCCAGAACTTGACGGTCTTCGTCGTGATACTGAGCTTTAATCTATTCACGGACGTCTGCATCATGCTTATCCCTCTTCCGGTATGGTGTTGTCAATGGATGGCAAGGATAGAGAATACTCTGCTAACACATCACCGTGCAGGTGCTTATTGGGCTGAAGATCAAACTTTGGAAGCGAATTGGAGTGTACTTTCTTTTTGCATTGGGCTTCTTCTGCATGTTCGCAGCGATTCTGCGGTTCGTCCTTATCTTCAACGTGAGTAATTATCCAATTGCATCCATATCGACTTCAGTAGCATCTAACCCGTCCCTCTCCCAGTTAAACCAACGCGGTGTCTCCGCAATGTGGTCATTGAGAGAAGACTGCGTCGCTATCTTTGTCGGACAAGCGCCGCTCGTCACGCCACTGCTCCGTCGCAAGTTCTGGGAAGAGGGAGGCTACGTCACCTCCAGAACTGGGAAGTCTACGAGCCGCAGCCGCAATGACGGCTATCACCAGCATCGGGGAGACAATGAGCGATCAGGAACCCATGTCAGCGCTGGAAAGCCAAGTGAGCTCTACCCGATGACTACGATGGGGGGATCTGAAAGCCAAGAGGAGATAGTTGGCAAAAATCTTCCGCCGGTGCCATCTGGGAGGCCCGTAAACGGAATTACTGTCCACTCGAGCATTGAGATAGAGGAAGGGCCGCGCCAGGCACAGTTCGACAGAGAACCAAGATGGTAATCTGGAACAGGGAATAATGAAGATCGTTTGTAATGATACAGCTAATCAGGATGAAAAGGAGTGGGACTTGAGCTATACGCGTGTATTGATATAATTGGGCACCGCACGGATTAGAAAATTCTCGGTTAGAACAGTGTTTACTATTTCCATTAATCTTTTTGGTTGTAACTTCGGTTCGGATGGAATGGTGGTAGTGTCTCCTCTACTGGGTTCCTCGAGATATGTAGACGAGCAACTTCAGGTAACGCGTTTCAACAAATCAAAACTTGCAGGTCGGAAATGCGGAAATGACAGCGGTAGCGATCCTGAGTACGTAACATCATTAAGCACTTGGCACAGACGGGGGTGAGTCCTGGCGAGTCCAAGTCTGGTCAGGGTTACGTTGGTAGTCGTAAGGGTCAAGATCCTCCAGTGCCGAGGACGACCGATGTACTGGTACTTTCAGATGTTCGATGGATCCCAGAAGCATAAATCCAGTGTAACATCAGAGTAACCGAGACTTGACACCGGCCCGTTGGATTAGGATTAACATCGTTGCAGAGACTACGGCCGCGGCGCGGTAGGCTCCATGATATCGAACGATGGCAAACAAGACGTAGGTATTTGAAAAATCAGACGCGCTCCCTCCCACGCTGGACGTTCTCGATCGCTTTTCTAAATTGCAACTTTACCTACTGTTGTACTTCGGAAAGCACCATGGACCCCCCTCAGTACGAGGCAATTCACCATGAGCGGTTCGTCAAAGTTGTCTGTATAGGAGCTGGAATCTCCGGCCTTTGCCTTGCGTACAAATTGCAGAGATCTTTCACCAACTATGACCTTACAGTATGAAGTGTTCAATACCTCAGGGTGGAAGCTGATCTGGCTAACCCTGCACTCTAGATTTATGAGAAAAATGCGGAGGTCGGAGGAACATGGTTCGAAAACCGATACCCCGGTTGTGCGTGCGATGTTCCAGCACACAACTACACATACTCCTTCGAGCCCAAGGCAGACTTCTCTGCCGCCATCGCGGGCTGGAAAGAGCTTAAACAGTACTACGACGACTTTGCAACAAAATATGATTTGCGCCAGTACATCCGCTTTTCCCACGTTGTGACAGAAACATCGTGGGATGATGCCAAAGGACAGTGGAATATTTTAACTACGGATTTGCAGACCGGGGCCGTTGCCCACGACTGGTCTCACATCCTGGTTCATGCCACGGGGTACCTCAACAAGCCAGCATGGCCCAAAGCCCCGGGACTCGATGCATTCAAGGGACCCAAGATCCATAGTGCGTACTGGGATGAAACCATCGACTTGAAGGACAAAAGCATCATCCTGGTAGGATCGGGGGCCTCCGCCGTCCAGATCCTTCCCGCGATTCAACCAATCGTCAAGGCTGCTAAGGTGTTTATTCGAACGCCTCGATGGTCGTTGCCGTCGCCAAGCCACAAGACCGGGGCGTTCTCACCAGAGGAAATACAAAACTTTATTGATGACCCACAAACCCTCATGGACCTTCGGCTCGCTAATGAGCGGACCCTGAACAGTTTCTTCAGTAAGCGAGAGCCGGTCGCTTAAGGGGCAACCCGGCGGTTGAATTGCGCTAACGCATGGATAGCAATGTACATGAAAGGAACTGTGCTCCAAGCCCAGGCTCGCGAGCACCTGGCTAGCGAGATGAAAAAGGTTATCGTAGATCCGAGGGTGCAGAAGACAATGGTACCCGATTTTCCAGTCGGGTGTAAGAGGATTCTCCCCTCTGGTGACAAGTTTTTACATGTGAGTTTCAGGCCAATGACACTGTGACAACCAAATTGCGAGAGAAAACCAACTGACAGATCCTTGGGGCCTCTTAGACCATCAAAGAAAATAATGTTGAAGTTGTCTACTCTGGGGTCAAATCCTTCACTGAGTCGGGTTGTGTGAGTGATGACGGGCAGTCTCATACGGCTGATGTCATTATATGCGCAACAGGCTTTGACTTGTCATTTGTCCCACGCTATCCAATCAACTTCAAAGGGCACAACCTCCAAGAGGACTGGAAGACGTCTATCACAGGTTACATGGGCGTTGGAATTGCCGAGTGCCCCAATGCGTTTACCATCGCCGGCCCCTTCACACCCATCTCCAACGGACCAGTTATTGTTGCGCTCGAGTCACAAACTGATTTTGTTTGCTCATTCATTGACAAATTTCAGACGGAGCCTGGCATGAAGAGTATGCATCTCAAGGCAAGCGCGTCATACGACTTTAGATCCTACGTGGCGCAAGTCACGAAGAAGATGGTCTGGTCCGATGCCTGCCGTAATGACCACAATGTCCAACCTAACTGGGGCCAGTCGGCCATTACGTGGCCTGGGTCGGTCCTCCATTTCCTCGAGGCCTTGAAGGAGCCTAGGTTCGAGGATTATGAGTTTCAGTACAGCGGAAACCGCTTCGCTTGGCTGGGTAATGGCCTGTCGCAAACCGAGTGGGACGACACGGCAGACCTGGCGTACTATATACGTAACCATGATGATGGGAAGCACCTTAGTCGTCGGGCTAGGCTCAAGGAGATATCTAAGAGTGGAAGCCAGCCTAAGAGAGTTCTTCATCGACAGGAAAAGCTCTCCACGGGCCGTCTCTAGCTAGAACAGAGTTGTCCTCGTGTTGTAAAACGATCATCTTTATATAGTATTAACCTCGCGTAATTGAAAATAAGGTGTTTTTATGTTCAAAAAGCTGTGTCTTAATTAAGGGCTCCAGAACAAAAGTACCTGCATGCCAGCGACAATGAGAAGAGCTGAAGGTTAAGCTCGACACATGTCATCCATCAACGTGAGGCTGGCCGAGAAAGTGAATGCATTCAATACCTAATAATCTTGATAACCTATGAAGAATTTTACCTATTCGATGGGGGTGAGAGAGTTCGATACAAAGTAAAAAACAGTCATGAGGTTGCCTGAGCCAACATCTCAACACAATGAGTATCTCTATTCGATAAATTATATTATTACATGATCGAACCAGTGAATGTGACGCCATGTCTCGGACGTAAACCTCAATTATCCAAGAATCAAGCCAGTCGATTGCACTTTGTTACTTAGGGAGTTGGTAGCCGTCTTTAACAATGCCGCGGAGTAGCTAAGTTTCTTGTTCTAACAATCAGGTGTGGCTTGAGTAAGATCGCATGAACCAAGATGAAAGGAGAGAAAATAACAAAGCTTTTTTTCGTAGACGGTTAGACATAAAGCAACTGTTGTCGGTATACTTTCCCTTCTCTGCTATGCATCTTCACAGGTTCACTCTTACATGTTCACTCTTAGAGTGAAGATGAAGCCCAATTTTATACCATTTAGCCTCCTAGTAACTCACTATAATTCAAACCCCATGCGAAGTGTATTTTTCGATAACGAACAAGGAATTTTATTCCTAAGGACTGGCTTTACCCTTTCAGTGCCGAGTATACGGTACTTCATAGGTGGTGTGTCTTCATATGAGACTATCTCATAGGCTTCAAAGTACAAGTTTGACCGTTGTAGAAGATGAGAAAGCACTGGCATTACAGGCAGCGGTTGGTAAGCTCAAAAATTCTCAATTCGGCATGCTGCATGCGCTTGGGTACATGAAGGCTTGGTGAGGAGCTCAAAAAAGCAAACACATCGAACGCACATCAAACACATCGAACGCGCATCGAACGCACCAAACGCACCAAACATAACAAACAAACAGTTGACCCACTCAACGTGAGTGTTTTCAGTCCAAGTGAATGGGAGCCTTCTGCTGTACTATAAATTCTGACTTGGACAGCAAGTTCTACAAACTATTTCATCTTTTTTATCTTGTCACACCCAGAAAAAACTCGGACTGCACAATTTTCTCCCGAAACAACTCCTCCAGTTCCTCGGAAGCCTACCGCCCAAACCAAAGAACGCGCAATACCAGGGTGCGATACGGTATAAAACATCGCGCAACCATGAAGCCCAGCATCAACAAAACGGGCAAGTCAGCCAAAGCCACGCCCGCGACAATCGAGCCAGTCGCGAACTCAAACCCCACCCAGCTTGAGACAAGCGACGCATCCAATCCTCGGCAGCGACCCCAGAAGCCGAACTTCCAAGAGAGACGCCATTACTATGGTGCTATGGATTACAAGCTGGTGGCACGAACCAGTGACACCGAGTTCGACAAGACCCGAGCGAAAACCAAGAGGGAGATGGATGTGAGCCCTGTGGGACAGCACTCGTACTTTGTCATATTCTGGAATGGCCGTGGCGCCAACTCGCTCCAGCTCCTTGTCAGGAAAGCATTGTCTTCTCTTGAAGTCACCAAGCTCGAGGCCGTACAGACAGGCTCTGCCGACCAAGACACGACGGACTGGCCGGTAGTTATTTGCGCTACGGTGAAGAAGAACTGTGCTAAGTGGGAGCTAGCACTCGACGCTGCGCTCAAGGTGAAGGAAATTCTCGGCGGCTGGGACTTTGAGCACATTGAGTGTGAGATCAGAGAGGAGAAGTGAGGTGTGCAGTGCTGAGCTATTGTGACGAGATATTGAGATTGGCACTTGGTGATACGAGTGGAATTATGTCGAAATGGATACAAAGCACCCATAGAATTGCTGACGATAATCGGGCTAGAATAGTCCCTGAGGACTAAAAGAAATGATAATTTGAACTTTACCATATCTCTGCCATTTCGCCTCCATACTTGGGCACCGGCTTCGTTCTCAGTGTATAATCACGGCAAAGTCGCAATCGCTAACAAACATCGTTAAGCGAATATATTCTCAACCTTTGTACTCATTATACAGGTACGCTTTGCACATGGAAATAGCTTTATCTCAGGTATGTGGTTCGCTGAATCTATGAAACAAAGCATTTGTCACAGGTGCAGTACCTTCTATAATGGGCGTGCCTCTCTCGTGAGGTCAAACGCCAGAGGCAGCGTTTCGGGATTCTACATCTTCATAATCGGCTCGGATCGGCGGCCCGTACAATATCAGATGAGAAAATGCACCATCCAAGGTCCTCTTTCGTGATCCGGGACTTGTCATAACCCAACGTGTCATTATCGTTCTTTCTCTCTAGGAAGAGTAATTCGGATGTTCCTAGGCCGATGATTTGTGGGGAATCCCGGGAGAGGATGCCAGAAGACGACTATTTTCTACACGAATAGTATTCGTACCTCATCCTCAGAAGCGCTGATCAAGGTATCTGATTCACAGGCTTTTCGCCCTGGGAGCACAATTGGAGTCCCAGTCACCGCGGATCAGGTCCAGATCAGATGTCAAGTTGGTACTCGGCAGGTGCAGTTGATCGTTCAGGGACGGTCTGACCTTATTAGGCGGGGAACAAACAGCCCCTCTCCTCCTCCCCTTTATCCCCCCTCTTTGTCTCCCTCCCTGTCCAGCAAGCTGCCAACCCCAACCTTACCCGTCCCTACTCCACCGACCTTATCTGAAAACACACGATGCTCGCACGATGCAACCGAAAGGCAGGCGGAGGAATCGGCTATCATCTCCGGGGAACGACGCGGAAGGAAGTAAATATGCCTCGTCCAGTTTCAACGCCTGCGTTAACGAACTGTCCAGGCTTGACAACCCCACGTGCATGCCCAGACCCAACACCCCAACCGACGGCAAGCATTGCTTCTTCTCCGGCTCGGCGAGAAAGTCAATAATTCGCAACATGAACCTCATATCCGAAACCTATGCTACCTCCCACCCTTGGCTGGGGCCTCCAAAGACGCCATTTGCAGCGGCTGCAGATAAAAACCCCCCAAGCTGGCTGTTTGACCATGCCAATCCGTCAGCACTTCTCACCAGAGATTTCCTCCTGCCCCTCCCGGTCCATTAGCCCATCATGAGATTCGCATCATCCATTGCCGCATTCACCTTGGGAGCCTCTCTGGCTCCTGCGGCAGCCTTCCCTGCCACTGTCGCTCGTGACGTCTCCGATAATCCCTTCGCCGGTCGCAAACTAACAATCAACCATTCCTACGGCAAGAAGCTCGAGGCTACGTTCGACGCCTTCGTGGAAGCGGGCGACGAGCTCAACGCACGCAAGACACGCACCGTCCAGACCACCGGCACCTTTTACTGGATCTCCAACATTGCATCGCTCTCCGCCCTTGACGAGGCCATCTCGGTCGCGCGCGCAGAGCAAAACCAGGGCGGAGTGCCTCAGGTCGTCGGCCTTGTGCTCTACAACCTGCCAGACAGAGACTGCAGTGCAGGCGAGAGCGCGGGCGAGCTGTCAGGCCGAGACGGTCTTCGCCGGTACAAGGAAGAGTACGTAAATGCCTGGGCAGTGCGACTGGCCAGAGCATCCGACTTGACATTCGCCGTCGTGGTCGAACCGGATGCCATTGGCAATATGGTGACGAACCAGGGTGTCCCACTATGCGCCTCTGCGAAACCAATTCAGGAGGAGGGTATTGCATATGCGATATCCAAACTCCAGTTACCCAATGTGAACCTCTATCTCGATGCATCACATGGTGGCTGGCTGGGATGGGCTGATAACCTGCCCCTTGGTACGTCTGCTCTCCCCTGACTCTCTATTCTCAGTTACTGATCAGCACATTCTCAATTAGCCGCCGCGCAATTCAAGGAGATCATCGCGCTCTCCGGTAATACTACCAAGGTTCGCGGATTTTCGACCAACGTGTCCAACTACAACCCCTTCCACGCTACTGTCCGTGAGAACTATACCGAATGGAACCCATCCTGGGACGAAGACCACTACACCTCGTCATTGGCCCCCTATCTTGAAGCGAAAGGCCTACCCGCGAGGTTCATCGTCGATCAGAGTCGTGTCCACCTACCTGGCGCCCGCCAAGAATGGGGTGAGTGGTGCAACGTCTCTCCTTCTGGGCTTGGGCGCCCTCAGGCCACGGACACGGGCAACGAATATGTTGATAGCCTCGTGTGGGTCAAGCCCCCGGGAGAGAGTGATGGGCAGTGCGGATTGGAAGGCGCTCCGCCCGCAGGAGTGTGGTTCAACGAATACGTCAAGATGCTAGTCGAAAATGCGCATGAAGATGTGGTGCCTGCTGACTCTTTGGAGAGGACCACGAAGTCCTGGTGGCCGCAATATTGAAGCAACAGCCGCCTTGGCGTTCTGGGGAGGCCGATCTGACAGAGGGGTGATCAGTCATGAAAATGTAGGAGCGTATATAAGAGAAGGGGTTGTGTTGATCAATGATAACGCGTACCTATTATGAAGCTGTATGAGCACCAATCTGCTGTCAGGAAATAGGTTAGGTGGCAACATTCCCGTAATTAAATGCTGAACTTGAGTGACCAATGTTAAGATGCTAAAAGTGTAACATTTATCTATGGTACCTATGCTACAGTAGTTCGTGTCGGTTGTGTTACGGCAGCTTGTGAACATAAGAAAGTGAATTTTTTCTATTCATTTTTCAGGTATGAGAACAATATCGATAAATGAAGAAAACTCTGAATTGAGAAACAAACATCAGGGTTCTTGGGTTCCTCGATCATTCGTACCACCTGCAATTGCAAAGCTCATGCAGCGCCCAGGATCGTCTCTGAGGAGTCGTTGAAACTGTGTATCTTGATTAGAAAACGCGAGAATTTCATCCCTCTTAATTTCTTTGAAAAGCTTCGGGTTCTTCATCGAAAGATATACAAAGTAGTGGTCCATGAAACAAAGCTAGAAATTCGAGACGTTTCGCTGGCAACAACCCAGTCATTAGTTTGGGCTTACTGGTACTTCACGCTCCCATTCCCATACCTCGCAATAGCATATTGTGGGATCATGCCAGGTGTTATAGTCAGTTGACTTATCAGGGCAGAAGTCTGAACGAGCGATGGCTGACACATCGAAGTTCAAGGCTTTGCCATTGGTGGCTTGTCGGAAGAATATGACGAGAGAAGAAAATCGTTCGCCGTAGCTGAATTCTTTATGATTTTGATAGCCTCTTCACGCGTTGGCTCGGGCTGTTGAGCTCGTGTACGAGTCCTTGCGCCAGGAAAATCGATGGGCTGTTCTCGCCAATGTTCAATGGCGATTTCCCTTAGCGGTCCAGGGTACATCTTGACCAGGAGAACGACTTTGACCTGGTGGTCGGGCTTATTAAAGCATTCGCGCGGGGAAATGGCTTGTACCGAGTATGCCATGTGAGCCCAACAGACCAACTGTCTTTGTGGACAGTTTTTCAATATACTGTTTGGGAATGATATGGGAACGACCAGTGGCAGCGAAATGGCCGAGGACTTGACATGCTGTGAGTAACGGAAACGGCAGTTCTCGAAATCGTCTTATGTTTTTTCGGGTGGCGGTGGACTGACTGATGAATCGTGGAATATGATCAGCTTGACGGACTCTTCAAGGTTACTGGGATAAGGCCTACCTTGGTATGACCAATATCTCGGGCCAAGGTCCTGCAGAAATTAAGCTGCAGGCTGTATGGATGCCTATCCTAATTTAGGCCCTCGGGGACCTTCAAGAGGCCAAATTTCGACCCAGAGTCTACGAATAGACCTGTTTCTGGGCAGTATCCAAGTCTGTGCTTTCTTACTGCTAGGATTGAGAAGTAGAATCGTAGCTCTTGGGTAGGCTCCTCGATCATACGTACTACCTGAAGTGCAAAGCTTGTGCGTGATGATGGTGGTAGTGGTGATGATGGTAGCAGTAGTCGTGGTCGTAGTTGTGGTGGTGGTAGTGATGGTGGTGGCAGCGGTGGCGGACTTGGGAGATGCAAGGAAAGAACAGCAGCCATCGCACCTGCCCCAAATTGCCACCTTCAAAAGGTAGATCAACCCACCAATATTAAGTTGCACCTAACTTTTCTTCGGATCAGATAAATGGCCTTTTACCTCTCCGTTCATCCTCACACACGACGTCACCCTCGAGGAGTTTATCCTAACACACGACGGCAGCGCCCTCGAGGAGTTTATCCTCACACACGACGTCAGCGCCCTCGAGGAAGGGCTCTTCCTCTGACCTCGCTACCAAAAGAGTCGGGCAGCCACGACTTCGCACAAGCGAGGGTGGGCTTGGTCCATATGAACTTCTCTGTGGGTTTTCAGGGGCTCCAGAACCGCCACAATGAGCTCGAGATCTTGCTCAGATCTCCCTACTTCCTTTTCCAGGATGCGGCTGGTGGAACTCCCCCCAATTAGCCATCCTTACCAAATATGAATCGAACGGCGTTTTTTCGTCACTTCTCCGCAGAGCCATCTTTGCCTTCACATGTTGTCTCGATACATTGTTTCAGAGTATTGTCCCTGACACGCCGCAACTATCGGCCGCGGGCGCGCAAACGGTGTCCATGGATTGCCGTTGTTTATATGGAAATAAGTGAGCAGCATGTAAGTTGATCAACCTGGGTGATAATGATAGCCTTCGCAAAGCCAGCGAGCTTTGGACTACTAGTACTAATCTTAGGCCTTGTTATATAAGACCATGTGATCTTATTGCCTTCTAGAGAAGGCGCTAAGATCTCGTTATTTGGCATGATGTCGAAGGTTGCGGATGTGTCAGTGCAAGTGCTCTGGCCAAGGGGCTAGTGGTACTCACTGGGTCTGTTGGTATCCTCGAGCTTCGTGTGTTGAAGTGCTTGGATCGAAGACGAGTGTACGAAGGAAGCCAGGTGAAAGAAGGTAGCTTTAATAGTCATTCGACGAGCCGCTCGTCCTGACGGCAAGTGAGTCATCGGCATGAAGATGTGCAGACTTTTCTTTCCGCATGACTGCAGCCTTGGGCTAGCAAACCCATTTATTTTTAAGCTTCCGTATTCATTGTGTTGAGTTGTCGGGCTCTGGCAGCTTCCATTGCTGTTGAACTTTATTCTCTTTCGTGAGCAGCATGTATGCCAACACTATCCATCCATATCTTCAAAACTGGGTCCCATCGATAATGTTCCGCGAAAGGCTCTGGACAATGCGCCTTGATCATGTCGTGAACAAAATGAGAATGTGGTGGAATACTTCTTTTCCAGCTGGTGAACGGGGAAGAAGTGAAGAGCAGTAACTTCCAGCTACTCAACAGATAGATTCTTCAGCTCCATGAGCTGTTCATTTTGTTGAAGGCGTTCAGAAGGCTCAGCTTGATCAAGCTCCTCAACTGGGGCTGCCTTCGTGTAGCCAGCATTTCTTGGATCGCTGGGTTTTATCCTGAGATTTGGAATTCGGGTCTAGGTAATCTTATTTCCCTGGAGAGAAGGCGCCGATATCTGTTCTTGTATGACTTGTTTCCTTGTCGTTAGGACAACAGCGAAGGCTGCGCACGTGTTAGTGTAAGTACTCTGGCTAAGGGGCCATTGGCACTCACTGGGTTGCTGAAAGGATTCGAGATTAGTGTGCTGATGTGTTTGGGTTGGGTGTAGATGAAAGAAGGAAGTTGTGTGTGTAATGGTAGGAAAGAGGGTAGGATATATAGGGATCTGACAAGCGGCTTGTCCCGATGGTAAGTGAGTCATCCATATAAAGGTTTACAGAATTTTTCTTCTGTATGGCCGTAGCCTTAGGCTAGTAGAGCTTATATTTTTTTGCTTTTAGTATTCATTATGTTGAGGTGTCGGGTCTGGCATCTTCTATTGCTGTTTTTTACTGTGTGGGTCAACCCGCTCAAACTCTCTCGCCCGCAGTCACGTCCAGCGTGAACTCGTTTGGTTCAGGGAAGGGGCGAACCAAACTAAACTTGTTCAGTAGAGTCTAGCTGCAAGTGAGAGTTGAAAAATGCAGCGGAGGCAACTACATGATGCACTTAAAATATCAAAGTTCAATCCAGCAGCAATACTCGGTTTTCCTTCAGGCTATAGAGACTGAGTGAGTCCTTTATTGCAGATATTGGCTGTTCAACTGACAATGACGCGGGATGAAACGCTATAAATGCAATCAGGTGCCTAGAAAAACGACACGAGGCCCTCAAGTCAGAGCTGCACGCAGGGCTCGGCAGTTGACGGCACATCAGAGTACCCCCTACCCAGAACTGCTCACTCTCAAGATGTCTACCTGCCATTCCCTCATATCACTACTATTTATTTTCCTGTACAAATCCACAAACATGGCTTGCATCTCGTAGCATGTATTATAGGTACAAGGTCAGGCCAGTGTTTGACCCTTCAATGTAAAGAAGCCGGCCATCTAGTCGGCTCTAGCCGTAGCAAACCGCTATCCTCGCCAAACCCGAGACTAATCTGTCAGTAATTAGTGTCACGATCACTTTCCTGAATCATCGGATAGATTTTCAGGGTCTGAAACTGAAAGAACTCATTTAGCGTCTGGATAGCATTCATTTTCAACGCCTGGGGGTGTGCAGGCCTCGTGTTCTGAAATGTTTAATGAACCTGGAGGGCTGAAGCGACAGGTGCCTTGAAATTTTAGATCCCATGCGTCCAAATTTCCCATAATTCGTCATACGAGGAACGGAGACGAGCTTTCTACCCCCTAAGGTCGTATCTTCCATTTATAGCTCCCACTCATCCTACCTCGGCTTTCTTATCTTTAACGCCGCTTTGTTTCGTGGAGAAATAGGTAGGGTTGCAATTGGAGTTCTTTGACGGCACGTTGGCGCCCAGGAGGTGCGAGTCCCGCTGGTGTGCTGCCGTCGATGCCGGTGTATGTTAGGCATGACGAGAGAAGCCTTATGTCGTACAACAATTTGGTCGGGCAGTAATCGGCCGTGTGGCTGGTAGATAATTTTAAAAGCATCCGTCAAGATTCACATTCCTTCACCTGCTTTTACGGATCATATATCTGATACCAAGATATCCAAAGACGACACAAGCTTCCGGACATATATGCTGGGCATTGGTCGCATTTCGGAGCATCCAGCCCAAGACAACTGTTGATCTATCATAAATGTAGGCATGCATTGAAAAGGACTCAATCAAAAGGATACAATTGGCTGCGACATGCTTACGGAGGACCAAGTTTCAGCGTACGTCAGTGGCGCATGAGGGTAGCAATATAGATAAAAACCCCTCCTCGCCCTTTCCTCGCCCCCTCACAACTCTCTTGTGCACGAACATCCTCCATCACCGTCTGGTCTGCTCATATCTGCGGCACACCATTGCTTACATTTGCGTCTGAGCTCCATCGCGGCATTCTTTGAGCCTTGGAGAGTCTCGTCTCGTCTTTTCACAATGCCTCATCTACTCAATCTCCCGGTCGAGCTTCTGACCTACATCATGGGCATGCTCGTTACTTCAATCGGCCCATCGCACATCCACACCATGCTTCTGGTGTGCAAATATTTTTACGAAATCGCCCTCCCACTATCGGTTCATGTCTTTCGCAACACCGCGCCCCTCTCCGTGGGCACGGGAGATTGCTCCGAGAGACGCAACGCCCAGTTCTTGCGCTACATTCTCATTGACAAACCCGAGCTCGCCCGCCTTGTCAAGGTCATCGTTATAGGCAACGCCCGATCAAGAAGAGGGAGCAGAGAGCTTGGTACTGATGCTACCACTGTCAGCACACCCAAGGAGCTCGACATTTATGAGCAACGCACCCGGGATGTGCTCCAACCAGTCTCGCAGTATAATGAGTTCGCAATGCTGCGCGAAACATTGATCGAGGATCTCAGACGGGGATTTTCCGAGGCGCAGCTCTCACTGATCATGCTTTTCTGTCGCCACGTCCGCACGCTCTACTTTGAGCAGGAGGACCCAATATGCAACCTGCCCTTGGTGATGACCTTTGGAGCCCATCTGCACACGTTGCATTACGTGGACCTGCAGCCAGCTCCGTTCTCAAACGTCAAGGAGGTGTACTGTGAGCCCGGCTCCAAGAAAAGCGGTCAGATCATGTGGGAGTGCGCCAAAACGCTCATGACTCTGCCGCGGCTCCGGGTGTACGAAGCCATGCTCGGCGATTGCTCAAGAGTCGGCGGGCCCTTCCCTCGTGTGCCCCCGAGGTCCTCGCCGGTGCGAGAAATTATCCTGAACCAGTCCAACGTCCGCCCGGAGATGCTCAACACTCTTCTCCAAGCCTGTACAGCCGTGGAGAAGTTCGAGCTTTCAAAGTTCGTCCACGATAATAAGTGCGCCTCTATGTGCGTCTGCGTGAGGGGCGGCCCAGGTTATCAGACCGCCTCGGTATTCAGCTTCGTGTCGGCCAGGCAAGTGCTGAGGTCACTTCTGCCTCATCGAGATACCCTCACCCACCTGCGCTTGATCATGCATGACCAGCGAGCCAAGTCGATGCGGACGGACCTCCAATGGGTGGTGCACATGGGGACGCAGCTCCGCGAGATGACTGCTTTGCAGACGCTCGAGGTGGAGATGGAGTCTCTGACCGCGAACCACAAATCGCCCGTGCCAGCAGACTGCCCGAAGCTTGTTGACTGCCTGCCACGCAGCCTGGTGAAACTGCAGATCCAAAACTGCAACGCGCTCACCGTGGAACCGGCACTCGAGCTGCTCGGGGCGGTTGAGAGGGGCGATACTTTCACCCAGCTCCGCCAGATCCGGCTTGTCTTTGATCTCGATTCGGTAATTGCCAAAGACCTTGGCCTCGTTCTTAATTCGCCGGATACGACATTGGCTGTTTTGTTCCAGTCGCGTGAAACCAATATCTTCGCCCTCGGCCCTGCGGTGAACACCCCAAATCGGAAAATGCCCGCTCTTTGCTCCCGGGTTTACGCAGAGGACATCCGTGGAAGGTGGCTTGAATTGAGAGGGGCTGCTTCGCGCAGGGACCTTAACTCTCGGGATCCAAATAGACTGATCCACCCACCGACAATGAGCTCGAGATATCGCGACGAGGCGGTTGAGTATCTGGTCTGATCCAGGGTTTCCCTGCGCAGTGCCAAACACGTGGACGGGTCACCAAGTATGCAAGTCGGGAAATGTTCGTAGTTGGAATCAATCAGAATGTACACCGGGGGATTGTTTTCTTGATTCATTGACTGTTTCTAACGCGTTGAGTAATAATATTCGTGCCGCTTAATTGAGCCCTGCTCTTCCCGCCGTGTTGCATTTGTGTTCATGCCTGCAGGAAATCTCACCCCCGCGATGCGCAGCATTGGGGGATGAGAATGCTGCATTTCTTGTCCACCAGAGCGCTGGAATAAACCCAGGGGAGTTTTCCATCATGAAATCAACGTTAGTTTAAGCTTATTATCTCCATCCTCAATTAGACTGCAAGAATATAACCGGCGCGTCGCGCAGATCGGTACGGGGAAGGGTTGGCCTGAAGCCGAAGGTGGCGTTGGCGCGCCACATTTTGCACCAGCCACTTGGCAGTGATGTGGTAGCTGTGACGCGACTTCTTGGCGAACACCACCTGGGGAAACCTCGGGCATCAAGAACGCGCAGCAGAGCCCGCGGCAGGACACAAGGCGACAATGAGAGTGTTGTCTTGTCTACCACAACCAGCCCTCTTCCCTCCCCCCGACCTAGGAACCACAGAGTTTGGCAAACTCTCCGGCTTTACACGATCATAGACGTCCGACGCCCGAAACCCACCGAACGCCCGAAGGCAGAGAAGTACTGTTATTCTAGGCCAACATCGACCATCCCATTAAACATGCCTCCAATTCTGCCTGTCCTAGGCTGCCCCCATCCTGCGACCGATCGATCGACCGAAATACACGAGGAGAACGCGAGCTAAGCTCTCTTAGGGAGAGAGGCCGGGTGGGCTATCGTTTGACTTTGGCGACGGGGACGGATCCTTAGCGGCCGCCGCCATGGCGAACCCTACCTCAATAGCTCCGCTTCAAAAGTCTGCAATTGAGGATTGAAGAGGCTCTGCTTGAAGATTCCGTAATTGGAGACCCACTGCCGAAAGAGTGTTTGAAGGTCCTCTGATTGAAGAGCCGCAGTTCGAGTAGACTCAATCTGCAAATCTCAACTCGAGGGCACGAGATTCTCTCAACGTTGTAGATGTCCCTTTCGTATCGCGCCAGCTTTAGTCTGGGAGGAAGCACGTAGAGTACCTAGTGGATGGACACATTGCATGTATTACCTCCAGAAGCAGCTGCAGTAGTTCTTCTAGTACATCTGTGACCACCTTTCGTCCTCAATCCTAGAGCCGACCCGCCATCTTCTCGTCAACAATCCTCACCTCGGCCTTGACGCCGAGATGATCCGTCACCCACGCCTTCTCAAAACCAAGGTCCACGATCTCGCGCCGCTCCTCCTCCCCATCTGCCAGCACATCCGCCCCGATCCTCTCGAAACTGTCCACCTCAGCGCCTCCGCAGTAGTACACCTTGTCCATCCTGGAGCAGCCAAACGTCTCCCGCAGCTTTGTGCTCGCCTGCTGGCCCCAGGTGTAGCCCTCCTCCGTGTCCTCCTCCCCGCCCAGCTCGAGGAACGCGTCCCGGAGCCCGTTGTCCGTGTGCAGCGTCCGGTCGAACGGCTGGATGGCGTTGAAGTCACCCGCGGCTAGCCCGGCGTGGACCTTGCCCTCGCGCAGGAACCTGGCCACGAGCTGCATCTGGGGCGGGCGGAATGGCGGGTCGAGGGCCAGCGACTCGAGGTGCGTGTTGCAGAGCCGGACGCTCTTGCCCCGGACGGAGACGTCGACGAAGAAGGCGTCGCGATCCATGCGCGTCTGGGAGTAGTGGACGCGGAAGGCGGCGGTGATGGGCAGGCGGGAGTCGACGAGCGTCACGGTGCCGTAGTGCCCCGTCGCCCAGTAGGTCGGGTCCAGATCCGTGAGGTGGAATCGCTCCCGGACCCACGGCGTGGCGGCGATGGTGGCCAGGTCTGGGGGCGTGCACTCCTGGATGAAGATGACGGGGGCCATGGTGGACGGGCTGGAGGATAGCAGGCTGCCGAGGTGGACGAGCGCTGGCTTCATGCGCGCTTCCGCGAAGGGGAGCATGAAGTCGATGTTCCAGCTGTACAGAGCGATGCCGCTGATGCCGCTGCTGTCTGCGGCTTGGGGCACATCGTCCGAGGGGTTCTTTGCGGCCCAGGACGAAGTTGCCGGGTCGAATGTGTAGTAGGACTGCGGGTGAGGCTCGTCGTTCTTCCACGGCGGTGACGTCTTCCGCAATGCCGCGCTGTCCTTCAAGGCCTGACCCAGACGGGCTTCCATGCTGTCGCTGCCGTAACGAATCGTGTTGTAGGTCTGTAGCAAGCTCCCGAGCACCCAGGAGCCAAAGGACGATACGGACATAATGCGCAAGTCAGATTTGCGGTGTGGATTGATTACGCTCGTGGCGGACTGGGATTATCGTGGATGTGCTAAGCTCCTTTGTGCGGAGAATCCGGATGTCAGAAATGGTCGTGATAGGCAAAACGAGCCGAATGTTAAAATGATGTCGTTAACGCCTGCATCTGATATTAATCAGTGCAATTTTCTATGAAGATGGCTTGGAGATGGATGGACTGCCATTAACCACCAGTGCAGGAGTGTTGGCCAAGAACTTCACATCACGAACCATCATGTTTGTTTGGCAAGCGCACCCGAGCTAACATTTCAAGCCCATTCTCCAACCCCCAAGCTAAGATGTTCCCTGAGAACAACGCTTCTCGTACCTACAATTAATTCTCATGGCCGCATTTTTCTTCTCCCATTATTTGTGTGAAGCAATGCAAATTATGCGAGATGCCATGTCGTCATCCGAAGTTCAACCTCCTGTCGTTTGAACGTTTTCTTTGGGATTATGCTATCGAACCACCACGTCTAGCTAATCAACCACATCTGCGCACACTAAGAGTCGCTTTTATACAGCAAGGAAGAATGAATTAAATTCTACAAAATTACTATTGATAGGTAACGATATTATAATTAAGTTTATCTACTTTTCTAGGTGCGGATAGCTTAATTGGATGTGATATTGGTGACTATGTGGTTTTGCCTTCTGTATTTTTGATATAGCGCCCAGAGGCCCCCAGAAGGCCCCTAGAAGCATGGCCACAGCGCCTGGAGAGGTGGTTGACTAGCCGGACGTGGTGGTTCGATAGCAAAATCCTTTCTTTGTGGCGATTGTGACGACGTCCCTTTCAGGACGTGATGTTTGGACTTCTTTATGTCGGAAGTCCAACCCAGCTTGTACGGTCAGGCCAAGCTCTCGAGAGGGCATTCTGCTTCCGGCGACGGAATGATCAAGATCTTCCAGTTTAATGTCCCTTTCGACTTCATAGTCACCCAGTTCGACGACATTTCCAGGCTGGATAATTGGGGTGCGCGATCGTACAAGGATCAGCCTGTTATCCGGCAGTCCGTCCATTGCCGCGTGCAGTGCCGTGGGAAGTAGCTCAGTGATCTTAAGCTCTTGATATCTTGTGGTGACAACGTCCTATCAGCACCCAGATTAGTCTCATCATCAGAAGTCCCTCCCCAGGAGCACCCAGTCGATTACCATCAAACCATGATTAGCGAATGTCTTGGGGCCTTTACTGCCTTACTTGGTGATCCTACGCGGGAGGGTACCAAGGGTCTTTATCTCAGACGTAATCATACTGGAGTAACATTGGCGCTGACTTGCCGACATGACTTGCCGACATAGCTCGCCGCCAAGGTTCCGTGTTGACCGAGCTATCGAACGAGCTACTCAGGCTTCTCCACCGCCTCCATGCTTGCTAAAGCGACGAGGATCAGCTCCTGGGTATCAGTATTCACGCACGTGCGCTAAGAGTCGAGCGAGGAACTTAGGTATCTGGCAAGATTGAAATATTCTATTCACGAGCCCTTTCGACTACAACATATGGAACAAGGTCTACTTTGCCTTCAGATGGATTACACTTGGTGGCAGGAGAGACCCAGATCATGGGATCTATAAAACCACTCATCTCCGCTGGCACTGGCTACCGAATTGTGTTCCTGATCCCCTTGGCCAACAATATCTACACAAGAGGATTTCTCGTAAAGGGGGCAGTGGGAGGTTTCTTGAAATTTGGTTCCAGATCGTACCTAGGAATGGCCACTGCCATTCATGAAGAAAGAGGAACTAGCAGAGTTGGGCCAAAATCCTGTTTATCCCCCGTATCCTGAATAGCTCCATACCTCTGGCTATCAACCTCATCGGCACTGGCAAATCTATATGAACGACACTCTAGTATAAGAAGAACCAAACAGTTAACTATCGAAGAAATTCGAGGCTAGGCCACATAAATCGAAAGAAAGAAGGGGACGACGAGGATAACATACCGCAAACATCATGCCTTGGCCCCTCGACTAGAAATGCGATGAAACCTCGGTGAGTAACGAGGAATATATTCTGATAAGAGCCGGAGAGGTTCATAAGGCGACGGCGAACCGTCTCGGCACGTAGAGTGGCACTCTCTACGCTATGCGGTGGGTGGTCCCATTGCTCAGGACACGAAGAGAAGTCAAACTGGGGAAAGGCAGCTGCAATCTCGGCTCGACTAACGCCTTTATTACATATAGCATCATGCGCCTCGCGCAGTTCTGGCCAGATCTGGACTTCCGTCCTGGCAGGCGTGGAGGATTCGTCCAAAAATTGCCGGAACGCAATAAGAGTAGTTTGAATCGTGCGAGTCATGGGGGAGACAATGATGAGATCGGGCTTTGCAGGGATCAAGACTTTCTCGGCTTGCTTGGATCCAACTTTTGTCAAAGGAGGGTCTCGGTGAGGATATGCCCTATCGACACTGCAAAGAGATATTAGGCAATCTTTCGCAAACTTTGCTGCTAGCCTTGAACTTACTTGTGAAGAGCTTGTCCGTGACGTAAGATATGAATTGTCGCCATGGATGCATCCATCTTTCTTGCGTATTCGCGGATTGTTATTCACTTGTGATCGTAAATGGGAGCTACCTGGTTCGCGTAAAGCATTGCAATGCAGAACAAAACAGGTTGAAACCAACCTGAAGTTAGGTGCAGCAGCCAACGTTAAGTTTGGTTCTTAAGCACGTGATTCCGACCTAAGCTCACTCGCACCTTCCGTCACCGCCAGAACCCAAGCGTAGCCGTGTCCACTCATCACCTTTTACCAAGTTCTCTCAATCTATTCTTACATTCGCATTTGCCGGCATTCTCTTTAAAATTTCGCTCCCACGGGAACCATGTACGGGTTACGACCTGGAACTGGTGGTATAATGCCCCCAATCTAATACTATCACGGAAGATTCTTTCGACTCCCTTCACATGAATCAGACTCTCCGAATATCCGTCAGTGCAGCATGGCCGGACGCGGTTCCCCATTAGGTTACAATACCACTAGTGGCACTCCTCCTTCGTTCGATCAGGCAGCATCCAGGTCACAGCCTAGTGCTTCAGCCTGTTGCCAGCGAGTCAAGGACAAGAAAGGACGAGAAGGTTGAGACGAAGACCAAGCACTCTTGTCCCTATAAAATTCGAGGACAAGAGAACGCAGCGGCACTCGACCCTGCTTCAATACCATTCTTTTCGTTGAGCACATCAAAGTTCAGAATGAACTTTAGGTAAAATACAACACCGAAGTCCCAGCTGCCTACAAGATTATGCCTTGTGATGCAGGTGCAACAGCATTGTTTGAGAACTGGCAGTTCTACTGTCGACTTGTCCCTGAATTCCCGCCTCTAAATCGAACCAAACTGTGCAGCGTTGCAACGTGTAATCCTAATTCCAAACTCCTCTTCACGCTGTCGCTAATATTCAGTGCAGTATAAGCCAGAACCCTACATCCTCGGTACCAGTGTCCGGCTATATGATGTAGATTGTCTCTCTATCGCAGGAATTCAAAAGCTGAATCCCTCCACCGGCTTGAGAATACGAGTTAAATACACCCACCCGATAGAATCGGTCGTCGTGGGGCGCCACGTGTAAAAGAAGGCCATAGATATCGGTGGTCTCCTTCTCTAAAGACTCGCCATCAGACAAATTGCCAAGCGTTGACCCGACTGCTTTGCGCTGTGCGCGACTCTTTGAGGTTTTCTCCCAATCTACCGATCCAATCACGATCAACTTAAACTGACCCTCTAGCCTGCTACAAGTCCAGTCGATGGTGCAAAATACCACTGTTCCCTCTGGCAGACTGATTTCAACAGACCCTCTGTCAGGAGCATTTTGAGAGACTGCAGTATCGGAAAAGGTGTATGTTGGAGCAGTGACCCTCAGCTGCGCATGTGAGATTCGACCAAAGGGATTCTGGCCCTGGACATCTACGGTTGCTTCAATATCGCAAAGGCTTTGAAAGTCTCCGCGAGTGTCCTGTATCTGCCGGTAGAGATCCATGTCAATGTTTCGCCGCCCAATCCACGACCAGGAAGGGGCAATGTATGGAGCCCTCTGGTTCAACCTCTCGAGAAGATCGTTGATGCCGTAAAAGCCTGTTCCTGGGTACCGACAATATGACCATATAAGCCCCCTTATCATGTCCCTTTTCCAGAGTCCGGCGATATATTCGTCCGCCAAAACAATTGAGAAATACCTTGCGAGGCCTGATATTGCCGGCAGGGCGTCCTCGGGCTTTGTGAATTGCCTATCCGAATAAATGGGGGCGATACTCTTACCCCATTCATTATATAGTTCTTCGGGATCTGTCGCGACACCGCGAAGAAGGAACTGCCACTGAACGCTCGCAGGCTCCTCATTCTCTGCAGCCGTTATGGATGGGCAGAGGAAGTGGACAAAGTGAGGCCCGAAGACCACCAGGCGGGCTGACATGACGTACTCTTGATGTGCCCAACCGCGTTGAAGCCAGCGACTGCTGGAAACGTCCGTGAGGAGATGGTTTGCATTGACTTTGCCAATCGCACAAGTCGAGTAGCGCAGGACATACGCGCCCTTGATCTCATCATTGAGAGATGACTGGAAGGGGATGAGAATGGTTGGAGAAGGAGGCTGCAGGAAGCTCGTGTGGCATGATGAGCCCAAGGAGCAGAAAGTGACAAAGGCATGGGAGTATACTATACCCATTCGACTTGCTTCCCGCTCCCAGTCAGCAATGTCGTCCTGGATGATGCAAAGACTGTCCACCCAGAGCAAAGGAATCTGAAACGCTCGAGCAACCCGCACAGCGTCCCTTATCGTTCCTGTCAAGGATTCGATTGGTATCCCCAATCGCATCGTCTCCTCTGATGCTGCTGTAGTTTTGAGCTGGGCTCTTGCATGAGACTCCAACCCCCAGCAGTAACTCAAGGCTGCGTATTTCGGAATTTCTCGTCCATTACGCTCAGCTTCGGCGATGATCTGGTCTCCGTACACCAGACGAGGAATCGGCCCAGCAATATCCACTAGACGAGTTGGAAAAGATGAGGCATTTTCCCGTTCTCCATGTAAGCATTTATATGAATGTCGGCCCTCAGCACAGTCCCGTACATGGGACGTTATCCAATTTAGCTTCCGTTCCGTTAGGTGATCAGTCTGCGTGGAAGGCCATAGTCTTAGCCAGTCTGCACATGCATCGTCGGCAGAATCTACATGTGGTAAACGTGTGATTAGCCCGACGCAAGAGTCTCAAAAAGGTCACATGCATCCTTACCGAGAGTTTCGTCAGATCCTATGCTCAGAATGATCTCCATCTCAAGGTCCCCATTGTTGTCGATGGTTTGGAAGTCCCGCGCGTTCATGTACAAGCCAACGACCAATGAGTCCAGCCCTTGACTGTCAAAGAACAGCCATGTTCCCCAGCGATAGAAGAGAAAAATGGAGACGGTGAGCTCTCGATCCCCTCGTTCTACGATCAGATCGCCCAATCGGCATTGGACATCATCAGACAGCAAAAGGTGTTTGAGATAGCCGCAGAAGCCGCAGCCATCTGCCGCGCCTTGGGTGAGCTGGGGAAGGTGGGGGAAAGTGTCTTCCAAGTCAAAGTCGAGTCGGAACTCGAACTCCTCGTCGCCTTCCTGCTGTTTTTCAGGGAGATCGTAGCCTAGGTAGTCGCTGTCTTTGGTCTTGACTCGTTTGAAGCCTTCAAATTCGGCATCGTCAAAGGCCACCACCTTGCAGCGCTCACAGAGTGAGGCTGGTTGGCGAGTGTTGAACAACGGCATGGGGCGTTCTGGGCACTGCAGGCTGAGACATTTCACAGATATGCACGTCTTGTCACAATGTTGCATCCACAAGATCGACCGGAATTTTAGGTGCTGCTGGACACCGAGTTCATGCGACCGGACAGAGGCTGACAATGTCGCAATTAGGCGTTCTAAGAGGCAGTTTTCCGACCCCGCAGTGGCGAGTCGCTCAAGATAAAACGCTCACTGATGTGTGATACAGTGTGTTGTTCTTCCGTGCCAACACGGTAGTATTCTTTAATACCAACGCTCATCAGGATCAGTCATTGCGTGTCATCCGCCACCGCCCAGCCCACCAATCATCTCAATCTGTATCCTTGTGGGCGAGCATTGATTCACCTCCGACCATCAACAGCTGACTCAATATCATTAATGAATGAAATACCATTCTAATTTAAAATCAATAAAATGAAACCCCCAACGAGATATGGATCGCCCCTAAAATCATGCTATGAGGCTCCGTCCCCCAATTCAGCTCACTACTCTCAACTATTCTAGGTCATGGAGCAATTTCTTAGTTTAGTGCCCATTCTTAGATGCAGCTTCCATCTATGCGCGTCTTTAACAAGTTTCACATACCTTTCGTCGGCGAGAGTTGTACTGATGCCTCCAGACAAGCTGTCATCCATGTATTTGTCGCCGGAGCCTTGAAGCGCAAAGAGCTCTGCGATATTTGAGCTTTTGACAACATCCACACCCAGTCGTGTGGTTTGGGCAACAACGATAACCTAGAACACAAGAGCCAGGGCAATATGTATGACCAGAAAAGAAAGCCACTCCCAGCGAATGACGACCATGTTGACTCGCTCATAAGTGTTGCTACCTTCTAGTGCTACAGGCTCGTTCAGCATGCTGTAACAGCGAGAGAGCTGAACTGGGGCCATGAGCAGTTAGTTGAGCCACACTTTAGCTCTGGTTCGGGCCATGGCTCATCAACGGGCTGTAGGAAGCCTTGAAAAGCTGCGTAAGAAAGCTTTTTCCCTCTCTTTCGGTGGGAGTCCGATGGGTCCAACTGAATCCCAGCTTTAGGAAGATGTCAACAGTGTCAATAAGCGCTGTTTTAATCGGGGACTCAACTTACAATCTTCCTGGCTCTCATTTCTATTGATACTTCCTGGGTATTCTGTGCTGATTGGGGCGAAAGCACCGATGCTATAATTTCCGCCGCCCGGTTTGATGAGAACATTCCCCAGTCTATATCCGATTGCTGACTGGGTAACAGACGATATGACCAAGCTCACAACTAATGCCACGGATGCGGCTGACGCTAGAGGGATGAATCTGCGGTTCTTTGCATCAGCAAGATAAAGTTTCTTAAAAGCGGTGCAATTGGCGTTGTACCTTCCACGTAGTCTTAGGAGTAAGCGCACCGACCAAAATGAACAGCGGCTGGCTTGGTCAAAAAGGTAGAGATCCCTCAACGGCCTCAAGTCCAAAGACATCCAATTCCACTTGAGCTGAGATAGGGCCACAGTTACCGGGACCATCATCGTTGCTCGGCAGATGGTGGAAAGAAACGCAACGATGGTGTTGAGAGTAAGCCCAAATCGCCAATTTGGTGCTGGTTTCCCATCAAACATGTGGAGAAGAGCGACCAACGCGACGAGTATCATGATAGAAAGTATGTAAAATATCCATTCCGTCACCCAGAATTTGAGGTGGGCGGAAAAGCCGTCTCGTTGTTTGGATTCGGCCGTGTCTTCGGACCCCTTTCTCAGCTCTGTAGTGCTGGAACAATTAGAGGCTAGGGTTAAAGTATATGGAGGCAAGCATCTCACATTGTTCCCCAATACCAAGGGCTTAGAGGAGAGTTTTCACCAATACTTCATGTTCTTGATAATTAGAAGTAGCAATGCCTAAATTCTGTATATCTATTATTGTAAAATTCTTCCAATCCTGTCGACAGATAAAGGGGAATGTCTCCAAAGATACACGTATTCCACATATCTATCATTCGTCTTTTACTTACCCGTAATTGTACGTCTTAGATACTTATGTCGGTGGTGCCCGGGGTGAGTGTCATGCCACATGTATTCCTAGGTTGACTGGTCGTCCGACTCAGGTGTAACGCTATGCCGCGTAAATAAAGCCACTGGCAATCAATTTTGCTATTAGCAAATTTCTCGATGACCGCAATCCTGGGAAGGCCTTCATGATTCCCCTTCCCTTTTCTGCCCTACTTCCCGTGCTGCCAATGGCATAACATGCGACCTACAGCCAAGATTAATTTTCGCCAACAGTCTTAAAGATATACGTTTACTCGTGGCTTTTCAAAACATCATGGTCCCTAACCAGCTCTTCGAAACGGCAAATTTCTGAATTATTAAACCTAGATTTGCTGTGTGGCTGGATTTACTATGTGGCTGGACTTGCTGTGGCTGGATTTTCTGTGTGGCCGCACTCACTGTTCAGCACCATGTGAACCAAACCTAACCTATACCCAGCAATTTACTCCGAGAGTGTGACATGATCTCTCTCGAGCGCGCAAATGGATGGGAATCGGGCAATTTGCATCTTTCCTTCAGTTCTAGTAGATTTTAAGGAGGGTCATAGGAGATAATCATTAATGGTAGGCGCTCAGGCGGCAGATGTGCTCCGAGATCGTCGAGGGGTTAGGGAAGGTAGCTCCTGCCACTTACAAGACGGTGATCTTGACCCTGCTCTTCCCAGTTTATTGACCCCTAACATAAATCAAATAATCACCACCCTAGAAATCCTGGAGATCAACGAGAGATAATTGATGACGCCAGAAATTATCGAGAGAAGCGAAGTATTACGCACGGGAGCCTTTCCAGCTCCGGCGCGACCGCACAAATAGCCAGCACTCGCTCCACAAAGTCTAGTCTTGAACATGGTTTGGCTAATCACGTCTTAGGTGCTACGATTCCCGTGCGAACTACAGTCCTACCTAGCGAGCAGCTGGTGCGTCATCTTCAGCCACAAGATGAGCGTGTGAGCAAGGAATATGTGCCAATTGATGGTCGGAGAGGGTTCAATCGGAATTACCCTCGAAAGTATAAGAGCTTAAATGCCTTATACCTGGCAAAGACGCGTCCTCGATCTGAATACTGGCAACCGCCGCCCTACGAAGAGTGCTAGCCTAAACGAATATCGACACCGGCTGGTGTAGAAGTCAAAAAAATCCAAGTCGCTGCGCAGAAAGGGTCTTGCAACAAACAGACCATTCACGGCAATTTGGCGGGACAGTTGGTCGTGGTCCGTGGCCGGCTGGGAAAGCAGGTCGCGCACAAAAAGCCAGACGCGTTTGTGAAGAGCTTGACCAAGAATGGCGGTCTCAGGCTCGAAATGGAGTCGCAGCAGAGTGTGTCCGCTCTAAACTGGACATCTCTGCCTTGTCTCTTCTAATTTTAACCACCCATGCCTGGACGTGGCCCACCTTGCTATCCATGTCGTTCACCATGACAGTAATCAGCAGCTTATTATTAGTAACCTGCGTCGTCGCGCGGCGGATCTCTCACTGACCGAACGAGGCCAGCCCACGCTTTGGGTCTAGCCGCGAGTGTAGGGCCAATAACACGCCTGGTTTTCGATGGAGTTCCGTCACTGGTCCCTGGTTCACGCCTTGGTCCAGCATCAACAAACCACTCCAGCTCCGGCTGCCGATGGCCTCACGGCGTGGATTCGATCGTCCCCGCAACACACGAAAAGAATATATATACTGGAACGATGTCTACGATTCACAGACTGTTTGCCACCATCGCCACCATCGCCACCATCTCCACCACTTCCAAGCACCTCTCTTCCAAGCACAGCCTTGAAGCCTTTCGAGCCTCGCAGATTGCATCCAGAATACCACAATTCTCGCTACACAAACCCCCAAAGAGTCTTTGCCATGTCTACCTTCAAGATTCTTGCTGCTCTGGCGCTTCTCGCCTCTCAGGCTGTTGCTCACCCCACCGGACACTCTCACCAGTTTGCCCACGGGCATCTGAGCGTTCGTGCTACCAGCTCCCCAGTCCACGCCCATTAAGCTAGATGCTTTGGCAGGATGTTGTTCCAAATGAACTGGCTTTCATTACGTCTAGATGACAAGTGAACTTTCTTCTTCTTATCAGCACCATTTCAGTTTCTCTTCGACTTCACGTTTCAGCTTGAGCCTTTCGATTTTCAGCTTGAGTCTTTCTTCTCTTCGATTTTTCGAACTTCATCCTTTACCATCTTCTTCAACCCAGGAGGTTATTGCTCCATGATTTTTCCCATTGGCCTTACTCCAGCTTCTTTTTCAATTTCTTCAACTTCTAAGCTTAGGCTTTTTCTTCAGCTTTACTTCAGCTTCACTTTAGCTTTCGACTTATGTCTCTTTTACTTCAGCTTTTCGGCTTGAGCCCTTCTTCACTTTTTGCAACTTCAAATTCTTGGCATCTTCTTCAACTTCAACTTTAAAGCTCGAGACTTTTTGCCTTTTGGCCCGAGCTTCTTTTCCAATTTCTACTTTTCAGCCCGAGCTTCTTCCACTTTTTGGCTTCAGCTGTTTCTTCTAGCTTCACTCCTTGAACCTCAAATTTCCGGTTCCGGCCTTTTCTTTGATTTTCGGCCAGAGCTTCTTCAACTTCTTATCTTTAACTCAAGGCTCGAGATTTTCCAGCTTCATATTCTTGAACAGCCTTCAACTTCAATTCTTCAACTCCTCTTCAAAGCTTCAACTTTTTTCGATTCTTCAACTCCTCTTCGATTCTTCAATTTTCTTCAATTCTCCAGCTTCTATTCAAGGCTTCAACTTTCTTCGATTCGTCAACTCCTCTTCAAAGCTTCAACTTTCTTCGATTCGTCAACCCCTCTTCAAGGCTTCAACTTTCTTCGATTCTTCAACTCCTCTTCAAGGCTTCAATTTTCTTCGATTCTCCAGCTTCTATTCAAGGCTTCAACTTTCTTCTATTCTTCAACTCCTCTTCAAGGCTTCAACTTTCTTCGATTCTCCAGCTTTCTTCGATTCTCCAGCTTTCTTCGATTCTCCAGCTTTCTTCGATTCTCCAGCTTTCTTCGATTCTCCAGCTTCTCTTCAAGGCTTCAACTTTCTTCGATTCTTCAGCTTCTATTCAATTCTTCAGTTTCTCTTCAATTCTTCGACTTCTCTTCAAGGCTTCAGCTTCTCTTCAATTCTTCAATTTCATTTCTCCCACTTCTCTTCAATTTTTCTATTCCCTTTTCTTCTTCATTTTTGACTTCTTTTTCTTCTATTTTCTCTTTTCTTCATTTCCATTTTCTCATTCTAGCGTGCTATTCCTTTTCTTTCTCTTTTTCTCTGATACAGATTCATGACTTTGTTCTTCGTTCTGTTTTTCTGTTGCTCTTTTCACTTTCATGTTCTACTTCTTTAGTCTAAATACCCTGGTGAAAATTATATTTTCGTTGTTCATTACCACTCTAAGCTTCTCGTACGTAAATGGTCCTGTGAATGCCTATCATCATGATTGCTCGACCGCCTGTGATAGCTTTCAACTTTCAAAGATCTAGCATGTATTAATATCTGACTGCAAGATCTCAAGATCATCGTTCATGTCCATTGAAGCCCAGTGTCAAACCTGGATAGCTATATTTGAGACATGAATGGGATTGATCTGGTTCGAACCATGTCAGAAAGCTATCAATATAGAGGGGATCAAATATCTGATGTGAATACTGTGTTTGAGGGGGCAAACTACCCGCTAGCCGCATGGTGTACTCTCATACAAGCGAGCAATGCGCGAGGTTAGACAGTGGAAGCCTAGCTAATGATGAAAAAGTTGTTAGATGGTTTGAGCAAACACATGTTGAGAAGGTAGGGCATAGTGATTCTTCAACCTGAAAAGGTCTTTGGCTATCCAAGGATCTTGTGTACATCACTTGACGATTGGTTGGTCCTCAGTCGCCTACCGCTAATGATGATTCATGACACAGCCAATATAAAAATTTAGTAAACTATTACTGCCTACCAACGCAGAGAAATATCATGCATCTTGTCCTTGACCCATTCCAAGCCATCATCATCATTCGGAGTGCCAACCAGAGCCAGAAAACAATCCAAGAAAGTAATGGCCCCAATGGCAAGAGGAATGGCTTGCCCTGGTTGAGAGAGTTGTCGAGTGGGCGTCAGATCGTTCGCTTTGATGTCCATCTCAATAGATACGATGAAGATGACAATGGGGATGATTGAAGCCGCTGCTGATATACGCGCAGCTCCTTCGAACCGCTCCGTCCACCTGTATCCTAAAGAATCCTCCGTTTCATACTTCCAATTCAAGAAAGACATCCGCAGCAGGATCCCCGACATTGCTACAGAACCAAGGATGACCATAAAGTTCATCACGGAGAAGGTAAGTGCGAATATCCGAAACCCCCCGTCCATGTTCCAAGACGAAAAAAGAAACACCTTATTCGGAGTTCCGAGTGCTGGCAGTTTATTGTACAAGACGGCCCAGAATACGATCAGTGCAATCCCATGCCATATATTTGCAACGCAAGTCGTGACGATGCCAAGGCTTTCCCCAACAAGAGCGTTGGGGCATAAGCAAGAACTAAGAGCAGGATAACTGAGCACTGATGTGAGGAGAATGATGAGAAATGCCTCGGCGGGCGAGATATCCTTTTCAACAACTAGGCGAGTCCAACAGAC